ACCTGCTTTCATTTCATTCACCTATACATATTATATTTGCAGTTTTACATTCACTGATTTGCATTTTTCCTCCACATCAAACGATCGTTTGTATGGCACCTATATGATATAGTCGTCCGATTTTCATGAAATTTGCCACAAAATTTAAGACTTATATAAAATGGCTATACCTCAAATTTGATGAAAATCAGCTGAAAACTAAAAAAGTTATAAATTTAATTGTATTAATTTCTCGATCGTTCCTATGGGAGCTATATGATATAGTAGTCCGATTTTTATAAAATTTCGTACAAAATTGAAGAGTATAGTAAAATGGCTATATCTCAAATTTGATTCAATTCTATTGAAAACTGAAAAAGTTAAAATTTTTTTTTGTAAAAATTTTCCGGTCATTCCTATGGCAGCTATATGATATAGTCGTCCGATCCGGCCCGTTCCGACATATATACGAGTGAGAGTATATACAAGGCTAACTACAAAGTTTCATTCAGATAGCTTCAAAACTGAGAGACTAGTTTGCGTAGAAACGGACAGACGGACAGACGGACAGACGGACAGACGGACGGACGGACAGACGGACAGACGGACAGACGGACAGACGGACATGGCTAGATCGACTCGGCTGTTGATCCTGATCAAGAATATATATACTTTATATAGTCGGAGGTGCCTCCTTCACTGCGTTGCAAACTTCTGACTGAAATTATAATACCCTGCAAGGGTATAAAAACTGGTTTGCAAAGAAAGATCACTTTCAGTTATCTTTGAATAAACCAAAAATTGCTATCTTAAACTTTTTTATTTAATGGAATATCGATTAATTATAATTAATATTTTTTGAAGACAATTAAAATAATTCAATGCTGTTAAAGAAGATTAAATAAGCAATAAAGTTTAAATTTTTAAAAGAGCAATTATTATTTATTTGATTAAATAATCAATGGTTGCCTCGTTCATTTTTATAACAATATTATAAATATAATTAATGTTGATGAAATATTTTATTCAAAAAGTGAGTGGCAGATTTGCTTCTACAAATGATTAACGCCTACTACATCTGTACACATATATGTGTGTATGTGTGTATATAAGCCTAATAATAATAAATAATTCGCTCAAAGTTTCGCAATCGCAAATCAAGCACCGCGGCCCAGCAACGGGTTAAGGGAGCAGCAGCGACTTATCAGCGATCGCTGCACTTAATCTGCAGTGGAATCTGCTCTCCTGCGTCTCGATTACGGATTTATTGCGGCTGGTGAGCATAAAAAACTCTCCGACAGCATGGAACACACATAGTTACCATGTTCGGAAGCCATAAAAATGTATCACACAGGCAATAAAACGGAACCAAATCACATTTAAGTGCCGAAATTTCCACGAACTTTTGCTTTTGCAGCTGCAACTCAATTAACCCCCACATGGGACTCCGTTAATTGACTTAAAGCTGCGGTTCAAGGTCAAACCGTGGACGGGGACAACAACCTACCTCGAAATCCTTTGGGTCCAGGACCTTGGCATCCAGATTCTGGCATTTCTTCACCTGCTGAATGCCATAGCTACCGGGCAGGGCGAAGATCTGCGAGATTTTGGGCGACTGCGAGAGCTTCCAGCAAATGGCGTGCTCCCGACCCCCGCTGCCGATAACTAAGACGCGCTGCGACATAATTCGAATGGAAAACAACAACCAAAACTAATCACGTTTCCAAAGCAATAATAATATTGCTTTTTTGAGGCTCGCCCACGTGTTGAGCTTGGCAAACAAGACAGAGAGAGAGAGCGTGCGCACACGCGATACACGCACGGAGAGAGCGAGGGAGCTTTAGAGTGTGAGAGTAGAGACTTTAAACCCTATGTTTGCGCCTATGTTTCACTTCCAGCGATCTTCTGGATCCAGTAATAAACCGCACCGCACGACGCCTCGTTTCCAACTGAGACCTGGAATCAGATCGGAGTATATTTTCATGTGCGCTATCGCCTAGGCCTAGGTAGACATCGTCGCGACGGAGCGACGTCAGCGTCCGATTATGTTTGTGTTCGTGGGCTGATAAGAAGCCCCCGCCCGTCTCAATTGCACTTTTTTCCCACTGTTTGTTGTTTTCCATCGTAGGATTGGCGAATACAAATAACAAAAACACGATGATAGCCTTTCGGGACCCCTGAAAAAGCAACGATCGCTGGGGGTAAATGAAACGGTAACAAATGCATAGCCTATTGAAACGGAATCAACAAATGAATAAATAAAGGAATGATCTGGAATATTAAGATCTCCTAAACTGTCTAAGAGATGAGCCGGTGTCTAAAAGCTCTGCCTAAGCTTATCCAAGAATTATTTAAAAGCTTTCTAAACTCCTTTGTAATTTACCATGTCAAGGTCACACTGATTTAGACCTTCCCATAATTTATTTCGTTAAACAATCATATATCTGTACAGAGCAACCTTTACTATATTAGTTGTAAACATTCAATAACAGAAGCCGAGTTAAAAAAAATCCACAGCCTACTCAAAAAGCTATAAAAATAAGAGTGGTTTTCTGCACTAGTTGAGTTCTGTTACTATTTAAAATTATGGTTTTCGTTTTTATTAGTATGCATTATACAAAATTGTGTAGTGTGAGTTGTAAATTTACAAAATATCTACCGTAGTCCGTCATAAAATTTGTTTTACATTGTTGTTGTTGATGTTTGGGTAGCCTGTGGGATAAAGCAACGAATATGCGCCGCATCGAAAATGTTTCAAATGTTCGGCGACACAGAATCTCAGAATCAATTGTTTCATGCCTTTTTTGTGGTGGTTCTAAAGAGAAACATGCCAAGAATATAGAAGAAGCTCTTGAAATGGTTGTGACGCGCCGTACTTCATCGGTTCACTCTGTTACCGGCGCATCTGAAAGCCAATGGAGCCATTCGGTCCACGAGGCAATCGCAGGACTTCGTTAAACGGATGCGGATGTTGAGCGAGTTGCTGCGGCTGTTGCTGCGGCGATTGCAGCGACTGCTGGCGTAGCAGGGCTGCAGACACACTACCGCCCACCACTGGGGACCAGCTCTGTTGCGGATTGGGCGACGTCTGGGTCTGCTGTGCTTGGGGCGGCATCCCTATGCCACCAAGACCTCCACCTCCATATGGCGGCAAGCGCTGATTGAAATGGGGCTGAATGGAGGGCGACTGCTGCTGTTGTGACGGGTGCTGCGCATTATGGGGATAGTAATAGTTCAAGCCCGGCTGATTGTGCGGCCCCTGGAAGTAGCTGTTGTAGTTATTATACATGCCCGACCCCTGGGACATCTTCGGAGCCGAGCTGGAGCGATGCATTCCCGCCGCTGGATGGCTGCCATTGTTGTTATTGATATTGTTGTTGCTGCTTGCTGTTGCAGAAGATGGAGTGGCAGCCGCTGTCGAGGGCGGGGCAGCCGCTGATGTGTTGCCACTGGCATTTGGCGTGCTGGGAGCGGCTCTAAAAACAAAAATTAGCACAATCAGTAAACACAAGCTAAAATACTTCATTGCTAGATGTAATTAAATGAACTCTGGTCAAGTTAGGAATAAATTGTGTAGTACTTACGGTTTGTCATCTTCTGGATTTTTGGCCGCACCCAGGATACGCAGCCTGGCCTCGGCATACTCCTGCTCGCGCTGCTTGAGCGTCTTGATCGGCTGCTTGGGACGCATACCGTTGGTGTCGCGACGCTCCTCCGCCTGGGCGGGTCGGCGCAGGATCTTCACCGTTTGATTGGTGGTGGGCGTGGCATAGCTGGCCGAATCATACTCGTTTGTAGACTTGTGCAGCACCATCATAACGGGCTGGGGGCCTGCAGCTCGGCCTCTGTTGGCTGCGGCGGCGTCGGCTTCCTGGCAATAGTTATCTGCCTGGGCGAAGGAGTGCTGCCTCCGCCGCTGCTGCTGTTGCCCTCCAGGAGGCTCTGCGGGCGCTGGAGCAGTTTCATTTTGCCAACTGGACGATCGTTACTAGTTTGTAGCTGCAGCTGATTTTGCAGGGTCAACGAGATCTGTGTGATAGATGGCACATGGCATTAGATTGGATGTTGGAAAACTGACAGTCCACGAGTACTCACCGCCGCCTCGTCAATTTCCTCCCAGTTGTCTAGCACATCCTCGCCATGGGACATTGTTTAGCACAAGCTCGTTTTGTTGAACGGAACACGTTGCGTGCTGGGCGCTCGAATATATACTTGGTTGCTCTACGCTCTCTCCTCCTCTGCTCTGCTCGCCTTGCTCACTTCCTTCTCTTGCGCCTGCTGCTGAAGCTCGCACTACGACTGATACATGATTCCTTCGCACTTTTATCAGACATAAGTTAAGCGTATGGTTGGCACACACAATTTTCACGAAATCCGCTCCTCGACACTGCTGGAAAAAAACAATACGCAACAATTTCGTTCTGCTGCTATATGGGCCTTGTTGTTGCTGTTGTTGTCAGTGATGCTTCTTCTTCTTGCTCTTGTGGCCGAGGTTTTCAGCTTTCCACTGCTGCAGTTTGAGCAACTGCGGGCGTTCAGCCAACATGCGCGTCGCCAAAGGCGTGGAGGCACCCGTCTATCGCTAACAGTAATAGCTATGCATTTAATTTCAATAATTAAACATGTCTCTTTGCTTTTTATCTTTAATAGTGCTGTGGTGGGTCTTTGTGTGGCAGCGCACGCGTCTCGCTGCGAATGCCGATTACAAGTTGGTATTATATATATTGGCTGTTTCTGTGCTCGAACCCACAATAATAAAAAAATGTTGTTTTTCTATGTTTTGCAAACTTATATCTGTATACCATTGATTTAAAATTTCAATAATGTGATTTTATACCCAAGTATTTCAGATATTTAGTATTTAGTAATATTTAGTATATTCTGGATGAGTCTACTGCGCTCTTCTGCAGTGATGCCAACTTGTAATAAAATCAAAATATATTTGTTCCTGGCTTGAACACAAATAAACGAAACCCTAAAATTATAAATAAAAAAAACACAAATGATGTATCAATGATCTTGCAAACAATATTTTTAATCTCAGTAATAAAGTCAACGAATACATTTTTTAAGCGGGCAACTGATTTGAAAGCAAAAAACTGAGTTGGCAGCCCTGCTCAGCTGGGCGCTGAAGAGACTGCAATTTCGGTAGAATCAAATGAAATCCATTTTTAAGCGATAAGACTGCGAGTGATCATGGAAGTAGCACTCCCACAACCTGAGGAAACATACAGCATTAGCATAGGTCAGCAACCGCCTAGAGAAGAGATAAGGAACCGATAGCAATAGCTGAAATTCTGCGTTCTTCGCACACGTGCCCGTTCGCTCTGAAGAGGTTTACGCGTTTACCAGATTGTTTACGTAAATATTAATAAACACGCGATGACGACCGGGGAGGTTCAAGCCAAGGAACGAAAGGCGAATCCCGTCAAGTCCTTTATAGCCGGCGGCTTTGGCGGCATGTGCAATGTGGTCGTCGGTCATCCCCTGGACACAATTAAGGTGAGCCAAGAAATTGTTGCTATGTGAAATTCCTGGCATAACACACATGACACATGTGTCACCTTAACTTTACCAGGTTCGTCTGCAGACCATGCCCATGCCATTGCCAGGACAGCCACCACGATACAAGGGAGTTGCGGACTGCGCTGTTAAGATCTTTCGGCAGGAGGGATTCCGTGGTTTCTATAGGGGAATTTCCGCTCCTCTGGTTGGCGTGACTCCCATCTATGCTGTGGACTTTGCCGTGTACGCGGCGGGCAAGCGACTATTCCAAACGGACGAACACATTAAGCTCACCTATCCGCAGATCTTTGCTGCCGGAGCCCTAGCCGGAGTCTGCTCCGCACTCGTCACAGTACCCACCGACCGGATCAAGGTGTTGCTTCAGACGCAAACCGTGTCCAGTGGTCCATTGCTGTACAATGGCACCATGGATACGGCGATGAAGCTATATAGGCAGGGCGGAATCAAAAGTCTGTTCAAGGGAACGTGTGCCTGCATTCTGAGGGGTAAGTTGGCTCTACGTAGTTAAAAAGTAACAGATATAAATTAAACTAAACCCGCAGATTCACCCACCGGCTTCTATTTTGTGACATATGAGTTCCTGCAGAACTTGGCCAAACAAAAGTCCAAAACAGGACAGATCAGCACCACATCAACGATTTTATCCGGCGGAACGGCGGGCATTGTGTTTTGGACTTTGGCCGTGCCCTTCGATGTACTTAAAAGCCGCCTCCAGTCGGGTGAGTCAGCCACATCAAATCGTTCTCGAAAATCGAAGCTGATAAATATTCAATTGTCAAATTGCAGCACCTGAGGGCACTTACAAGCACGGCATTCGAAGCGTTTTCCGAGACCTGATGGCCACCGAGGGGCCCAAAGCTCTATTCCGGGGCATTCTTCCGATACTATTACGTGCCTTTCCCTCGACAGCTGCTGTCTTTTTTGGTGTGGAACTGGCGAATGATTTGTTGAATTAAGTTACAAGTTTTGTATTTAGGAAAGAGGCTGTAGATAGTTGATTAAATGTTGTTAACAGAGTTATTTTGTTTATGTATTTTCTTGTATTAGATTTCAACACAACCAGAAAAACTCCGTCATTAACTGGGTAGGTCTTACATTCATTAAGAAATAAAATATTCACCGATTTCTTTCTAAATTACAATATCAGTTTATTTTCATTTCTTTAGTTTTTCATTTAGCTTTCGTTTGTGGTCTATCCCATAGTTTCAACTACATGCTTAATTTTTGGAATGTCATAAAATCACCTTACAATTATTACGAGTACCATTAAAACTTGCATTATAAATGATTGCACATTAATCATATAAAAATACTTTAAAGTAATTGCAAAATAAATACGCTTATTGCCGATTTTATATGTTGTATACACAGAAAAAAATGTATAAAATGTACAATACTCCTTAGGAAAAGACAATTACAACTAAACAGAACTGTGTGTGCATTAATTATTGATGTAATAAATTCATCCAAAGCATTAGCTGTGATGCTCACTTGGTAATCGAAATCAATACGTTTATATAATACTTAATCAAAAAAATCAGGCGCATGGAGACTACACATCCAATGGAGTTTATGTAACACAAGTATTTAGCATCCATATAGTCATTGACAGCTAGTTTTTGGAGTGGATCTTCATCGTGATATTCAGAAATCGAAGAGTTCAATTGATACGTAGACCTTAAACTATCAGCTCTGTTTCCGAACCGGAATCAATAAAATTGTAGTATTCGTTGAGTCTAGTTATGGGGAACTGTGATGTTAGATTTTCCCGCACGAAAGTCGTAAAGCCATTGGAATAAAATCCTTAGAATATGGGAGCTTGTTAGTCGTAAAAAAAAAAAATGAAATAATTGCAATGGACTCTCAAAAGATCAATGAAATATCACGACTAAGCTTTAACTAGGTATAAATTAGCTGCTCAGTTTCTGGTTTGGCATCCACCTCAGCCCGTATGACTAGCATTTGAGCCATTGCTACCACCTCCGCCGCCGGCGAGTCCACCGCAGCAATTGCTCTGGGCTGCTTTGGCACTGAAGTTCCCCAGGCCAATGGAGCTACCCTCCGACTGCCGCTGAGCGGCCGCTGCAGCAGCAGCACTGCTGCCATCCTTGCTCCGCGCCTGGCCAATTAGCTCAGCGGCGATTTCGTAGAACAACCGCTCCACGTTCTCCGCCTCCTTGGCGGAAGTCTCCAGGAAGTACATGTCATGTTGCTTTGCGAACTCCTCGCCAATCTGGGTGGGTATCTCGCGGTCATCACGGTCCGTCTTGTTGCCGACGAGTATCTTGAGCACCTTGGAGTTGGCATATTCCTGGATCTCGCGCAGCCAATCCGGCAGGCAGTCGAACGTGGGCTGGCAGCTGATGTCGTAAACCAGTATCAGTGCATGAGCTGAGCGGTAGTAGCTCTGAGTGATCGAGCGGAACCGTTCCTGTCCGGCCGTGTCCCAGATCTGTAGCTTTATCTTCTCGCCCTCCACCTCCACGGTTTTGATCATAAAGTCCACACCGATGGTTGCGCCCTGGCCGGGTGGAAACAGTCCCTGGGTGAAGCGCCGCACCAGACAGGTCTTCCCGACGCCAGCGTTACCCACTAGGACGATTTTGAACAGGAACTTATAGTCCTCCATTGCTGAAGCAGCCAAAGAGAGATTGCGTGGGCGTCGGCAAGGTGTGTGTGTGTTTGCTCTGCAAACGGAGGCGAAAGTTAGTTGGTCCCAATTCGGAGTTTAGACACACCTTAGTCAACGACGCGTAACGTATTGTCTGCTGCTACTGCCGATGATTGCGATGTGCGATGATGGGGTGGTTCCTTGGATCTGCTTACGCCATCCGGACAGGAGACTTGCCTCTCACCTGTGGCTCTCTGACGGTGGTGCTAATGGTCGGTCCCAAGGTTGCTGCTCTCGTTCTGTTTTTTTTTTTTTGGCTATTTTACTGATGACTCAACAGCAGCGCGCTTCAAGTGCTCTAGTGTGTCTAATCGGCGCTAATCTGACGCGCATTTATTGAAAACGCGCTGGCCAGACTCAATATATTTATAGCTCTGCAGGCAACTGGTTGCATGCTGGCGCATTAATTGCCAGGCCTTGTTTTGCGTATGTTTACCAACAGAATTTTGCTGTTTTTCGATTATTGTGATGGTATTGGATTTGTAAATTAGAGGTGGGGAAACTCGATGCCAGCGCGATGTCATCGATGTTTTGGAAACATCGCTAGAAACGATGTTTGGCTGGACATAACCGATATTTTTCGATGCATGAATATTTTTTTATTCCAAAATGTCGTACTATTTTATGTTGTACAAAGGTTAATGCTTAGGTAATTAATTAGAGCAAGGATATTTAAATTTAAACAGAAATAATAAACAATTTAGTATGATTGGATTTCCAACTATCGGCATATAAAATACCGCAACGTGATGGCAACTATATCGATACACCGATAGGTTGATACTTTGTTACAACAACCCTAAATGCCCGAAAAAACAAGCAGCCACGCTAGAGGAAAAAGTCTTGTGGAAAATTGATAAAAATTGTAATTTAATAAACGCAATAGTCTCAAGAGAAGTTTGTAAGTGGTCTTGCGAATTGCGCTGAGCATCTCCACCACATTTTGTTTCTCCAAACGTGCCAGACGCCGAGCGGGAGACTTTTTTCACGGAGCACCCCGCAACCAGCAGCGGAAGGAGCGCAGAACCGAAAGCCGAAGAAATTGAACATGGCCGAGGACTTCGACGTGGAGGCGATGCTCGAGGCGCCGTACCAGAAGAATGTAAGTTTCGAATGCTCGCCTTAATAAGATTATCGTTAAGTTAAGACCTACTGGTTTGTACCTAAAATGTGATTATTTTACTGCGAAAAAAACAGTTACTTTATATGTCTGTTTGTATACTTCTTTTCCACATAGACACCCACAAGCGCGCCGTTCGTACGTGCATTTTGTGTTTGTATGTAAGTCGTCGTCGTCTCGGGCACACATACAGACATGTGCACTCGATGCATATTAAGTGGCCGCAAGTCTCAAATCGATTTTTAACCTAATTTTGTTGTTATTTCGGAAAAATCGGCAGGCGTAACGCCGCACTGCGTGATTTTTTGGTTCATATAGTTTCATACCTGAATGCGCGCATACAGAAATACAGAAAATAATTTCGCAAAACACAAAGTATGCGAATATCTGTCTGTGTGTGTGTTTGTCTTGTTTATTTTTTTTTCTGCGACATTTGGAACAGTGGTCGCCCCCCAAAAAGTGGGTACAGTGGTGGGCAATTAGCAAGGGTACAAAATAGGGAGTATGTTTTGTTGTGAAATTTAAAAATATAAATATATTGTTGACTCAAAATTAAATTTTCATATAGTATATTTTTCGGTTGAACAAAAATAATATATATATATATTTTTTTAATATTTAAATTTATTTATGTTAGAATTGACGAAAATAACCTTACTTTTACAAAATTATGCAATTAAAATCTAGAATGGGTTTTCTTACTATTTACTATATTAAAAATATGTTAATTTTTTTTTGCCATTTTATGAATTTATTTGACACTACAGGAATTTTAACATATCTGAAGCGTACTTTGGGTTTTATTTTTTATGTTCTTTGTTTGGTTTTTACTTGAACTTTGATCAAGACGATTTAGTTGTGTATGTTTTTATGTAGACTTTTTTATTGTACTCTTATTTGGGTAAATTAATCATATGAAAGCGACTCTTAATGTGGGCAAAGGTCATAAAGCATATCTATATCATTTTCTGAAAGCCGATTGTATTGTATTTCCTTGCAATTCGGCTCTTTCTTCCATAAAAAAATATTATCATTAAGATCAATGGAAGTATGAGACCAAACTTGCATGATTTTCTTAAAAAAAAATAAAGAAAAATGAAATTAAATGCGATTTCCAAAGATAATTGAATGTGTTTTCAAGTAGATCTATTGCGGAGTCGATTGTTTCTATTGTTTCCCTAAATATGAGGAGGTCCTATGATTTCGATGATTCAGAGTGAATACTTTAATAGTATATTAACATAAATCTATATTCATTTCTAAAGAATAAAAAATTTATTGGCAATAATTTTAATAGGATCAAAATGCCATTATTTCGTCCGATTGTAAAATATATAATTTGCTAGATTATTCGACTTTTTGTTGAAATGCACTAAGAATATCATCTTGTATTTCATATCCCAATGTGGAGGCCACAAATCCTATACTTGAGTTGTGAACGCTCTTATTTCTCCCTATCTGCTGTCTCTCACTAAGAACAAAATAAACAACAAAAAAAATACCCACACAATCACCTTAAAAAAATATAAACAAAAAAACCAAAATGCTAGAATAATAAGGGTGAAATGTCTTTGCAGAGAATCGTATAAGCTCAATATTGTTGCTAGAGATTGTTTTGGTCATTCTAAACACAAAAAGCTGGAGACCATTTGGTAAGTTTGATTGTGCTACAGAAGCTGCGAATAAAAAACCAATTACAAAATTAAAAACAATAAAAAAACCAAAACATATCTAGGCATTTTGTATTCAATATAATTTGTTTATGTTTGCGTTTTTTTTGCCTTGAACACACTCCAATTGAAATCCGTTTATTTACCGCTCTCTATGTAAACCAATGAAACTGAACGTGCACTAAATTTCAGATAAACTCCTCCTAACTTGTCTGGGGCAGCAGGCAGCACAACTACTACTCTCACTCACAGACAGACAAGAGAGAAAGTCTCGCCCAGAAATTACAGAATTACCATAAACAGAAAATAAATCAAAAATAAGCAATTACCAACACAAAAAGCCCACAAAGCTTAATCTAATTCTATTTGAAACAAAAAGCAAAAAGTAATAAGCAATTCTTAAACTAGCTTTACAAATTTACTTATATAATGTCTATGTCCTATATATATAGACGACGTCTTTTTGAGAACCAATCAACCAGTCCACTCCAGTCCACTAGCCAGCGCTAAACATTCCCCCAAAACTGAACTGAACTGATTGAGAATGAGAATGAGCATGGGAAATTTGCCCATGTGGAGACAACATTTCTCGCCGTCGTGAACCATCTGTGTGTGTGCCATATATATACAATCTATCTATATATTTACTACGTATAAGATCTCTATTATTATTACTCTATTACTACTTTGCTGTGAATCGGCAATGATCCCCAAATGATCATTGTTGACTTAAGCATTTCTATTTTATATACTTGCAGATACCAAAAATTTAACTAATTTACTTTGATTTGCTTTCTCTTATTCAAAAAAAAAAAAATATACCGAAAAAAAATATTTACGAAACTAAAAAAATAATATATCATATCAAACTAAAATGATATATAATCGAAAATCAACCAACCAACATCAACAACGACAACAACGTAACGAACGATCAACCAACGCCCGTTATGTGTTCCTCCTACCTCTCCACCACAAAAACTGAAATCCAATCGACAAAAAAATAATCCAATTATCTGTATATACATTATTGCTTGGGCCCGCCCCCATCCTTATCCTTCTTCTCCACCTGTCCAATCCGACCACCCCAATCCAAAATCCACACAAAAAACCAAAACCAAAACAAAACAAACAAAACCAACCTATCTGTGTAGAATGTCAGTGCGGGCAGCGGGGGACGTGGTGGACGCAAGCGCAGCGGCAGCAGTCCCGGCGATGGAGGCCACGACGACGACCATCCAGAGAACGGAACACGCAATGGCAGCGGCGGTGGAAGCTCAAACAGAAAACAAAGCAAGCGATCCCGGTAAGTACATTGCCCACTTAAACCATATGATAACTTAATATGAACCATAACCTTTTTCCTTTCCTCAGGAGTCGAAGCGGCTCGCGTGATGGCAAGTCTCGTCGTGATCGTGGCAGTGAACGCAGCAGTCACCGAGAAAAAGACAAGGACAAGGACAAAGAGCGCGATCGAAACCGCGACAATAAATCCCGCAGCGACAGGGATAGAGAACGGGACCGAGAGAGGGAGCGGGATCGGGAACGTGAAAGACCTCGTCGTAGTCGATCACGGGATGAGCGTGGAGGTGGTGGCGGTGATGACCGCCGCATGCGCCACAGTGATCGGGATAGGGATCGTCCTCCAAGAGATCGTCGTGGTGGCAGCAAAAGCATGCAGCGGGACCGTTCACGAGAGAGACGCCGACGTAGTCGGTCTCGCGATCAGCAGCGCAAACGGCTAAGTCCCATACGTGAACGCAAGCGCAGTCATTCCCGTTCCAAGGATAGAAAGTAAGTATTAATTCCCGCTTGCATGGATTGCATATTAAGATATTGTTTTCTTCGCACAAGCAGCAGTCGTCGTCGAGGCACTAACTCTCCCCGCCGCCGATCACCGCCTAACGGTGCTGGCGACCGAGGTACGCCAACCGAGCTTAGTCCCGAGGAGCGTGACGCCCGCACTGTCTTCTGCATTCAGCTCTCGCAACGAGTCCGAGCACGGGACTTGGAAGAGTTCTTCTCAAGCGTTGGAAAAGTGCGGGACGTCCGCCTGATCACGTGCAACAAGACGAAGCGTTTCAAGGGCATCGCCTACATCGAATTCGAGGATCCAGAGTCCGTGGCCCTGGCCCTGGGCCTGTCTGGCCAGCGGCTGCTCGGCGTGCCCATTATGGTGCAACACACGCAGGCTGAGAAGAATCGCCTCCAGAATGCGGCACCAGCATTCCAGCCGAAGAGCCATACGGGTCCCATGCGCCTTTACGTGGGATCATTGCACTTCAACATCACGGAGGACATGCTAAGGGGCATTTTTGAGCCGTTTGGCAAGATTGATGCGATTCAACTGATTATGGACACGGAGACAGGCCGGTCCAAGGGCTACGGCTTTATAACGGTTAGTTGAGCTTGAATTTTTCCCGATTATAACTTCAATATATCACTTTTTCGATCCTGCAGTACCACAACGCTGACGATGCCAAAAAGGCTTTGGAACAACTGAACGGCTTCGAGCTGGCAGGTCGCCTCATGAAGGTTGGCAACGTGACGGAGCGCCTGGACATGAACACAACATCGCTGGACACTGACGAGATGGACCGCACTGGCATCGATCTCGGCGCCACCGGACGCCTCCAGCTCATGTTTAAGCTAGCAGAGGGAGCCGGTCTGGCGGTGCCCCAAGCGGCGGCCAATGCGCTGCTGGCCACAGCTCCGCAGCCAGCGCCGGTGCAGCAGCAACAGGCTGCACCCTCGATTGCCACACAGTGCTTCATATTGTCCAATATGTTTGACCCGAGAACGGAAACCAATCCCACCTGGGACGTTGAAATCCGGGACGATGTGCTAGAGGAGTGCGCCAAGCATGGTGGTGTGCTGCATATCCACGTGGACACCGCCTCGCCCACGGGCACCGTCTACGTAAAGTGTCCGAGCACAACGACGGCGGTGCTGGCGGTAAACGCGCTCCACGGACGTTGGTTTGCGGGACGCGTTATCACGGCGGCCTATGTGCCCCTGATTAACTACCACTCCATGTTTCCGGACTCCATTAGCGCCGTCAATCTGGTTGCATTCACCCGTAAGAACATCGACGATTGAGGATGCGGAATGAGGACCGGACCTATTACGGATGTGCAGGGGCATGATTGTTAATATTCGTTACACAAAACATTTTTGGTCAAAACTTTTTAAATTTTTTTTCAAAGACTTTCGACGCAAGCTGAATCTAGGGGCACATATTCAAATACAAATATTAAATATGCATATAAATATATATGAATTATATAAATTAGGCATTCCTAACCCGCCAAACCGCTCTGATTTGGGATTTTAACTATGAAACTAATTTACATTTAATGTTCTCGTGGATAAATGCCCGCCTGAAATGCTGCTCCGATCCTTCCGATCGCCAATTAAAAATAACTTAGTTCTAATGCTTAAAATTGTAATTTTCTAGTTTGACCGCCAAAAACAAGTTGAGGACACAGACCGATTAACGATAGCTGAGCTGGGGACGGAAAGTTATTTTCAAATTTGATTCTTTTTAACATTAAAAGTCTATGTGTTAAGCCCAGCCTAGCCTAGTTTTACTATACAAATATTTTGTAGAAAGACTATCGAATCAAAAATAAAACAGAAAAGACAACGAGAACTTAAGTAGTATTGAATTTCACGCGCCGATAACGATAGGCCAATCAACAGGGGTGCCAAATCACGCCGTCCTCGTGAAATTTGGTATTTTCAATACATCGATGTTTTACGAGTTAAGCATCGACAACAAAGATTTTTAATTTATCTATATACAAAGGTAGTCAAAAGTATTTACACTTTGACCATTTCATAGCCAAATTTCTTTTAATTCTTATTCTTGTTGTTGTTGACCGTTTTCCCTGAAATTTTCTTTATTGCGTAGATTGATCTATGCAGAAGCGAGCCAAAAAGGAATTCGAAAGTTAACGGGTTATAGACAAGTGCTATAAGTAAAGCAATAGATGCACCTAAAGTGTAATATTTACACATTATTTGTTTTCGTCTTAATTTTAATGCTAACTTAATTAATATTAAAGAGTACAAAACTAAATTAAAACGTGACAAAGCATTTATTATTATTATTATTAATATATATGTATTAACAACAAAAAACTTTTCATATGTTTATTATTAATTATTTTAATGTCTAAAAATACAAACATTAATTTGAACGTGCAAAACAATATATTAGCATTATTATTGTTTGAAACAACAAATTTTAATATTAAAGAGAACAACAATTAATTGAAAGTTACATCAAATAATATTATCATCATTGAAGGTTAAAAAAAAATTTGATTTCATGTTTCATGTTACTAATTATCTTAATATTAAAGAGTACAACAAGAAATTAATTACCTGAGAATTTTGTTAATATACGCTTATTCTGATATTCAACGAGAGTCTGTTTACGAATTTTACTTTCTCATGTATCTGTTAAAGTGTAAAATTGGTATCTACATGTGTATTGATGTAAATTTAAGGAAACACAATTTTTTCAAAACATCGATAGTTCGATATATACAAACGTCAATAGTATCGATAGTGCTCCGATGTTTTGCCACTATCGGCAGCTGCAACTCGAAATCTAGTTAAATAAAATTAAAAATATAACTAAAATTCACCAACAAACATCGGACACGCACACAAGGCACCGCGTGTATTTTACCAGTTGAACAAACATTTCCAAACATTTACCAACAATTAACGAGCGCGATGTGCAGTGCGGAGTAGAAGAAAATTCCATGTGACCCCCGAGCTCCCCCATCCGTGTGTTTGCGTGTGTGTTGTGTGGCCTGTGTGTTTGTGAAAGCAGCACAGCGATGGAAAAAATGGCAAACACAAGCGCACAACTACAACAAATGTAGGTACCACAGGCCAATGAAGCAAAGCAAAGCGTAGGGCCGAAATGAAAATTCAATAATTGGACGCCTTGGCGCTAAGGTTAGTTTTTCCTAGAAGGGGAAAACTATTATGAAATGTGAGAAGTGTGCGCGAACAGTGTTTTATAATTCCCGCACACACACACTGACGCACAGCTGCGCCCACGCAAGATTGTGTGTGTGTGTGCGCTCATTTTTGACCTCCCCCACGCATCAGCATCTCATCTCCATCCTTCGTTCCCCGTTACCCAACCACCCGCCCAGCTGATTCATGCTGCCCGTGATAAATCAATCGGTGTGAGCCCTAAAAAGCACAACATTGCAACGGTGTCGCTGCCGTTTAATGACCCTGCCCCACTGGCCACTTATATAAGGAAGAACAAAGTGTCCAAGCGCTAGTGCGTGTGTGTTTGTGCGGCGTGAAAATAGCCCAAAAAGAACAACAAAAGAAAAGCCAAAACAACGGCGGCAGCAACAACGAAAGCAACGCAACTTAAACAAATGCTTGGATTTTGGCAAGCGTCTCTGAGGGTTGTCGTTTGCTTCGAAATTAATTTTAGAGCATTATGCCATCCACACTAGTGTGGTTGTTGTTATTTCCCCGTTCTGCCTGACAATTGCGCGCCTTACGCTTGAAAAAGGAATGAAAAACGGCTTCCTGTGTGAGTGTGAAAGTGCGAGTGTCAGTTGTTCGAGTGTGTGTGCGTGAGTTGGCAGCGTCATGGCAGCGCAGTTGCAGCGCCGCAGCAGAGCAGTTCGACTATTACCGTTACGTCCAACGTCGCCGGTTTCCATTCACGATTTTCTTCTGCTTTGTTGTTATTTCTGGCCATAGCCAAGCTATATACATGTGTACATATGTATGTATGTAAATTCCTCTCAGCACTTCGATTTGCCGTGTGTGTTATGCAATGCAAAATGCAGCAAATAGCAAATGAGGCAACAAGAAAACGCCATTGATTTGCACAGTGTTATCATTGGGCGGCATTATCGCGGTTTCTTTTCGCTGGGACACCCCGCGTTCCAAGCCTTTTTTGTGAGTCCAAAGCGTCGTCACATGCTACTGGAGTCCATTGGTCTTTGTGCGTCACCGAGTTGCAAATTGCAGGCTCCAATTCACACCCCCCGCCCCGTCTCAATATTCAAGTTTTTTTTTTTCGGTTCGTTGTGTTTATTGCCTAATTACACTTCATACAGCGCTTGTTCGCTTCGTGTTATTATCACCGCGGTTTCCATTGCAGGCAACGCGCCTCTGGGCACGTAGTCTATCTGTTCCACTTGATTTTGGCCATCTCTTCAGCTCTTTTGGCTCTTTGGCTCTTGGTTCTGCTTTTGAGAGGAGTACTCACCGTTTCCGACCTCGAAACTTCGCATCATGACGCGGCAAAGCTCACAGCCTCCGCTCAATCAATCAGTTTTGGAGCCAAGAAAAATCAGTAGACGCCTGCGCGACGCTTAACGTACACCTTTATTAATTGTTAGTTGAAAGCTTTACTTCATAAACTGATAATATGACTAGTTGTACAATTATATATTATAATTGTGTACTTTTATTTTTATTAAGAAAGTGATTGTGTGAACCATTCGATTTTCAAAAATTATAAAATTTAATCAATATCAGATGCAGTTTTGCTGTGTTTCTGATTCTATACAAACTATTATCAGAGAGTACGTTTATTGCCAGTGTGACCAGCATTGAGAGTATGGAATTAAATATTTTCTGTATTTGGTTTTATTCAACTCTTTTACTTTCTAAATTTTAGTTTTAAAAGAATCTAAGGATTTACCCAGCATGTAAATAGTTTGAACTTTCCATTAAAATGATTATAACTTAAATTTGAAGGAAAATTACTGTTATCACGACTTGAAATACAAATTAAATTTTATAGTTCATAATAACTGAAATTAAATAAATTCTTTAAATATATATTTATTATTACTTTTACTTAGACCCAAATTATGCTTTAAGAACTGTGGAAAAGTATTCAGCCTTATTTCATGTAAATCGGTTAGCATTGCACAAATTTGTGGCAGTGAGTGTGAAACTTTGTCACTGCCAATTTAGTAGTTGATAAATATTAGGCGAAAATCCTTTGACGTTTTGCTAATATTTATAGTATTCATAATCATTCACTTTTTCCACCCCGCCGGCCGCCCTTATCAGCAGTCAGATAAGCGACAGCCGCGTACGTTCGTTCCCCCGATCGTTTGTTAGCAGTGAACTCATACTCATATTCCCATACTCCCATGAAAGGCAAACAGCGAAAATAGAGTGGAAAAGTCACTTGGCAGCTGGCTTATTAGTTTCATGTGATTGCCAGACAATTAACACAAGTCCGCGCCTCTTTCTTTCTCTCTTTGCTTTTCTAGTTGAGCAACTAACCAGACGCGGAGGAGTCCCAAAAAAACCCACAAGAGATATAACCCCCAACCTGAAATAACCTAAGATTAACAATCCACGACAATACTGGAATCCAGGAGCGATCACCATTTAATGCTATCTGCAACTCTGGGGGCCAATGGCGGCCCTCAGCCGCTCAGTCCCTCCGCCCAGGCGACGCTCAGCAAGCACCTGCCGCGCCTCCAATCGAAGCGTCTCCTCCAGCAGACGCAGTCGTCGGTTTCCCCGAGACCCCAGACCTGTGATGCCAGTTGCCTAACAGGTGAGTACGAAGCGGTTGAACTTTTCTAACTCGAACTTTACCAAGAGGAACCTCTTACCTTTTTTTATAAGCAGTTACATCATTAAAATGTTCAAAATTGTATCGAAATTGTAATGTTCTAAAATGTCTTTGCGTATGTAGATTTATTAACTAATAAAAATTTATATAGGAATGCCATTCGAAGTAATATGAATGCTTTTTTAGCTTAGTTATGAGTCTTTATATACTTTAATTTGTCGATAAATGTTTCATATAAAAGTATCGATTAATATCGATTCAAGGATGCGAATTTTTTAAGCTTAGTTATGATCGATTTGCGATACGATCGTATAATTCAATTGAAAACTTAGTTTCCCTTCTTGTTTACTAAAAACATTGCACATAAAATTAACTATGAACCAAAATGAGCAATTCCACTTTAGAAAAGTTTAGACTTAACTATATAATTTCAATTTTAATTGTATTCCATTCTGTGCATACAGTTCGTGTGCCGGTAAAGACAATTGCTAAGCCTAGAGCCAAGGCTTTGGGCTTTCTTACTCTTAATTGATAACAATTAACACTTGGTGGGAGTGGCACTAATATCATTTTAAATACTCTCTAAAAGATACAAAAATTAAGGAATAATTAAGAACCCAAATGGTCCGAGTTGAGGAGGTTTGACTGTAACTGCATTTTAAAATAATAAACACTGTCATGCTAATTTGTTGTTTGTTTATTTGTTGCAGAGCTGTGCAGCAGCGAGAACCTTCCCGAGGTGGAGATCTTTTCGCTGCTAGAGGAACAGATACCCAAGTACAAGGTGCGCAACGACTTCCTCACAAACTTCTCCGGCTATGCGAATGAGGACTGGTTCGTACCGGCCCCAGCGCTGCCCATTCCGCCAGAGGGTCTGGGCTTGACCAAGGAGCAGACGCGAGAGTGCCTCAACTATTTCCGTGAGTTTGCATTGTTTTTATAACGAAATTCTTGAAGACAGGGAACTATAGCTTTTTGATCTGAACAAATAGAACATTTCCAGTCAAAACCTCACTTTCCTGGTAAAAACTATTTGTTTACTGACTAAGAAGTGACTCAATTCTTTGTATGACTTCATTTTGATTAATTTTCTTACCAGAGAAAAGGGGGTATGAACTTTCTATCAATTATGCAAGTGCAAACAGGGAAGGTACCTTTAAATACTTAATAACTTATTTATTCAGGTCCCAGGCCCAGTGTCTGACAAATATTCCTACCCTTTTAGGGAATGAAAACCAAAAATTGTACTTTCCTAATATATTTGTTTATATGGCTCTCGTTTGTCAACGCGACGTTGCTATAAAATTGCTCAATTAATATGAATTTATCAGCGGAAACTTGTTCGGGGCCCCAGCCTTCGAATCATATTCTGTGTGTTATACAATCGTTGTATACTAAATTCTATATAAATAAGTGTGTATCTGTACAGTTTGGCTATATTTCCATTGTCAGAAAAACACAAAAAGTTTGCTTAAACTTGTCATTGTTTTTTGTGTTTTTTATGCGTTTTTAAATATTTCTCAAAAGTGTTTATCTACTTTCACTTTGACGCGAAACGCAATTTTCTTTTATCTACGCAAGAAAGCAGATTAAAAATAAATTGCCAAATATACTATATTCACTCCAAATTCTTTTTGTATCACATGCAAATTTCTTTTGCCGTATTTTTCGTCGCTGACATTTGTTGAATATTTCTGTCAATATTTCATAAGCTCCTTTGCAAATGGCTTTAGATTATGATTGGTGGTTTTACTTGTTTGTTTTAGTTCATTGAATCAGATATTTATTTTAAATTAAACAAAAAACTAAATACATTTATATGTATACTTTTTAGGATTTTCGAAAACCTGCAAAGAACTGAAGCTATTTAATTTATTGTCTTTAATAAATTAAAAACAATAAGCTGTTTTTTAAATCTTCATAAGATTTCTTGAACAAGTTTTTAAAGGAATTTCTAAAAATACAATTTCGCTTTCTTTTTGAATATATTCTACACAATCATATTCTATAGTGTGTGTTTTGTTTTTTCTATATAAACATAATCGAAGCATTTGTAATTTATGTTAAAAGGTTATTGGCCTATTTGTTTAACAATAATCAATTTTGATGTATAAATCTTCGATTTAGAATTCAGGAAATATACCAAAATGTATGGCTACAGAACAATATATTGTAATTTTTATTTATAAATGTGCAAAATGGCAAGTTGCAACCTCCATAAAGGAAATCTTATAACTCTAAGCAATTTATTTTTCTATTGTAACCTAAAATGTTTATAAAGAACACAACCATGTAATTGTAAATTTTGAATTTCGCGCTCATAATTTCCCAAAAATTTCCCTTCAGCATGAACCAACACTTGTTGCTGTGTCCAGTGTTGAGTAACTCCCTCAGACAGCTGTTGCTTGCCATTCACACAGATCCGTGATTTTTCGAAGCTCCCAATCAGCTGGTCACCACATCTGGCAACACTTGCTCCGGCTTTTCTTCGTCAATTTTCGCTTTTCGTCGCTGCCGCGTGCTTGTCTCTGTGCTTGTGTGGATTTGAAATAGCGCCGCGTCGCCGTCCGTCGTCCGTCCCTCTGATAAATAAATACGAAACCCAGTGCCAAAAAACACCAATCGAAAATGTAAGCGGGTCGCCCGTTTAATAATTGCAGAAATAACCCCAAGACGGCGGCAAGAAAATGTGTGTTGGCAGTGAAATTGTGCGTGTGCTGCGGCTGGCATAATTGCCAAAAATACACGGGAAATATGTGTGCCGCCGAATGGGAGCGGCGAAAAATCATTAACGCAACGCAGAAATATTAATGCATTGCTCATACGTCGTGATTGTGTGTGCCAAAACAAAGCCGAAACACTTGGAATTTCTCCAAGTGTTTGCGCTCCGTGTGCCGTCATACGAATTGAATTTATTTTTAGGACAACTACAGCGGTTGTGTGTGTGTGAGTGGGTTAAGTTGTGTGTGTGCTAAACTTTATTTTTTTTTGTTGTGTATATAATTCATGAAGAGGAAATTGGTTGTTCTTGTAAACATTTAAAGGGAGCGCGCCTTCAATGAACGTGTGTGTGAGTGCGCGGGTGGATTTGGGGCACTGGTGTGTGTGTGTAAGGCCATGGGCAGGGCTTGTTTTCTGTCAGATTAATTTGTTCTTTCTTGTCTGTGAGGCATTTCTTAACTTGTTGTTGCTTGGGTCTTTACATAATCGGTTTTCCATGCGCCGCTATGCCTTTATTCCATTTCGTCTGTCGCTTTCGCTGATAAGAGGAGCGTTCTATAATAGGCCCTCTATCGGAATTTCCAGTATATCTCCGTCTCTGGATCGGCATTCGGTCTCGTTTCCCCGCTCTCCCACTCACTGTCTCACTCGCACTCGCTATCTCGAAGCAGCTGTTTGCCGATGTTTGTTTGCCATGCCTGCTAGTGTTTGTGAGTGTGTGAGTGCGCGAGTGTTGGGTAATTTTACCATTTACCGTTACACGCATGCCATTCGTCCAGTTTGTTGAGTGCAGCCGGTTTACAGTGACCATCGCATAATAAGAACCAAGAACTAAGATTGCAAGAAGGTTAAGTGTAGAGTTCCATTTAGGTTTAAAAAAAAACATAGAAAAATATTATCCAGTCTAATTTGAATTTTAGCTGGCTTTGTTTACTTAGTTCATTGAATATCCTTTAAAGTGTGTCGTAACTCATTAAAGTAATATAATATGAAATAACTGAATGGAAATTAAATATTTAAAAGTTTCTGCTTTGCTTTTAATAGATTCATATACATAATTGTTGTTTTCATGTCTTTATGCAACAAGAGATTGAATATTTTAAAAGATAGTATAACAATTTTGCTTTAATAATAACAAGTTGATTTATATTGGTATAACATTAAAATTATGAAATAATTTATGATCAAGAATTTTGAGATCCATTTAATTAATTGTTATTGCAGGGATTACAAATATCTTTTAATAAACAAATTAATAAAACAAACAACAAATTAAGGTAAATTTCCAAGCTTTGCTGCCAAGTCATACTCTTTAAATGAACTTTGAAATTTTTACCACAAATGATTACTAATTATGAGTCATGACAACAATTTTGTTCGCTGCAAAAAGTTTAAGAAATAAAAAGCACGACTAAAGCCCAAGACATGACGGTATAAACAAACGGCTCTTGCAATGCCATTTACCACTGTACGCTTTTAACTTGGCTTCTTGATCGATCACCATTATCATCCAGTGGCTCTTCCGCATCAATCAACGGTTTATCTGGCGAGCTGGGAGAGCGCGTTCCGTTCGCTGATAGCACCACCATCAAGTGTTCCGCAGAATATTAACCGTTCGGTGGTCATGGTGGCCATGGCCTGCGTGTAAGCTATGAGCCACACCAAATGGACAGTCATAATAATCGCCCCGACCGACAATGGGGGCTTCTATTGGGGCTAAGCTCCGCCAAACTAAATGGCACAACACCCAATTGGTGTCATGTACAACGTCGTGACTATGACCGACCGGGAAAGCGGATAATGTCCGCTTTTTGCTCGCCTTTTCGCCAAACAATTGTCCGAGATGTTTTACATTTTATGTTGTATTCGGTTTGGCATACTTTCATTGCGTCACATCGTCCCCAGCACCACCAACACCTGCTCGAGGCATTCGTCTAATCTGTCCCGTACATTTTCCACGACTTTTTCCCCGGCTTCTTCTGTGTCAGTGGCCTATTGAGTAGGACATTCACATGGCCGGCGATAATTAAGGCAGTAAAATGTGGCTCAAAGCATTTTCCACCATAAATTGCCACATAATACAACGATCACTCATTTGTGGATATTGATTACATCGGGCGGACAGCGAACTTCCTTGACTTTGTCATTGTTCATTGACACTATCGATTGCAAAAGAGGAAAAGCCAGGGATTGGCTGCACATATTTTCGAATTATATTTGTATGTGTATTTATTGTATTTAATTTTTATACAGGATCAGATCTTGAACCGATGTTTCCTATTGTTTATTTCTTAATAATCCTCAAATATATTGATTAAAGGATAGAGTTCTTAAAGGTTAATGCTCAGAATAACTCACATTAACTAGATAATTGCTTACCAACGTTACTTTGTTATTCTTTATGGACAAAACTCATTTAAAAATGTAAAACTTTTGAGAGTATCAACTTGTGTTATTCGAAAAAGAAATGCTTAATCTCTGCTTTTGAATACACATTCGAAAGTTAGGTAATCTCATTGCGCTGTCATATTTACATACATTTTTCTAATCTCGACAATGGCCAAGCATTCGAAAGCGTTCAGGTGGTGCTCATCTTGTACTGACCGTAAAAAATATGCTTAAATGCACCAAACTTTGGCCAATAATTAATTACCAACAAACGAAACATTTGTGAAAGTTGATGTGAACCAAATACATCATAAAAAAACAAAAATAAACTAAACAAAAATAAAACATGCCCAATAGAGTTTGTCTAATGCTTACTGCCATTTTCGTTTCATTTTCGCGTGTATGAATTGATTGGCCTTTTTCGGATGTTTTGGTTGCTTTTCCCTCAGTTATTCAGTTATTTATTCAGTTGTCTTTACATAATTACCCAGCCGGGGGCTTCCGAATGTTCGATCGTCTGTTATTTTTGCATATTTTTCAATCAACCAATTAAGCTCACTATTCTTGAAGCCCATTTTGTCATATGCCGTGTGTTGTTTATCTGTGCGATAATGTGATTTATTGTATATATTCGCCGGCTGGCTTCGAACGTGACTCATAAATGCATATGAGTTATAAAGTGAGTGGACTACGTACGCTCTCTGCATGTCGATGAACCTCTCAAAAGCTGGGCTCACATTCATTACCCGCTTTGCAGGGACAACAAAAAATACTAATTAAAAAGAAAATGCAAAATGCAAAATATAAAAAAATCGGTTGAATCATCTGCTTCGCCAGATTTATGTTGGTCATCTCATGTTGCCCGTTCATTTGGCACAACCGTTAGTATCTTGTATCTAGCGCAGCAGTTATCTCTGTTGGGTTTCAGCTCTCTGCTTTTCTTTCACTCCGCTAGCCGGCCATATAGTAAATTATGATCGAATGGCCATCGAGAGCGTGAATGGACCAGTTAGAGGAACGCCCAGGGCGTCGGGATGTGCACCATTTCCCACTTAAGCTGGTCAGTGTTCTGAGACAACCCACGCCTGCTGCTGCTGCTGCTGCTGATGCTGCTACCTGCTGGATTTCCACATCGACCTACGTGATCTTGGCCATGTAAGAGAACGTCTTGGACGCATCTCCCCAAAGCCAGACACTCGATAATTTATATAAACTCGTTTGGGCCGCCCAGCTTTTCTTTCTTTTAGTTAAAGGCAGCCACTAAATTTTCACGATACCCACAATCTGTCCACTCTTCTCTTGGGCGTTGCGGTGTGAAGTTGGAAGTTTTGAAATATTTGTGATTTATTTTTTGGCTTGCATTGTATGTTAATTTCGAGATTAATATGCCTTTGCAATTTGCCATTGTTGTTTGTTTTTTGGAAAACCTTCCGGAGATGGGAAGAGTCATCTTGCCTCATAATCAAAACGGTTTTAGTCAGAGAGTAGAGTGAAAATAGCACATCGATAATTGCAATTCCGGTCGTAAAGATAAAGATCTTGCTGTGTGTGTTATCGGGTGGGAACCTCGTGAAAATCTGCTCCAAATGCGCACTAAATAAAAGTATTTAAAGCGCCTGTTTGGCAGCACTAAAAAAACCTGACAAGTGCCAAACTACACAACACTCACTCCACACCCAATCGTTTTTAGGCATTAAAACACACACGCATTAAAAGTAAACATAAACTTAAGCACTTTAATTTGGAGTTAAAAGTTAATTGCTTGTGAGTTCCCATATAAACTACGAAAGAAGTTCGCGTTAAAGAATAGCAAAACAAACGATGCACTTGGACCAAAATGCCACTACTCAACAATGTACTTGGAAATAAAAGCAATCAGCAAGAACCGAAGCCGCAGCTGCTTCATTATCCCGCTCGGAAGCTGGAGACCCTGCCCATAATAACCGAGCAGGAGGCCGATGATTATGGACAAAACTTCGAGAATGGAGTCCAGCTGAATAGCACCTCTTGCTTGGATGTGGATGCCACCTCACTCGCTTCGAGCAAGTCGAGCAGCTCCCTGTGGTCCACCACCTCGGAGGATTCCCTCAGCAGCGTCTCCCTGATCACCAGCCAACCCTCCAATGCCAGCAAGCATTTCGAGAATACCTACAAGCTGCTGGGTCAGCACCTGGACAGCAATAGCCAGCGAGTGGCGGACAAGTTGCAGCAGCTAAGTGGATCTGGCAGCGATGTGGACAGCATCTCCAGCACCTGCTCCTCCATGTCGGCAATTGTCAACGGGATCGAGCCACCGCCCACGCGTCTGGAGCTGGAACTAGAGGCAGTGGATCGTATGCGGTGCATAGTCAAGCAGATGAAGTCCAGGCCAAAGTCAACGGATCCACCGCTGGGAGTTTCAGCACCTTTGCTGGCCCTGCTCCACGACTTCGCCTCGAAGGGGGAGCGAAAGGCGACAGGTTGCAGCAGCACTCCATGCACTCCTGTTCCCAGTCCAATCACTGGTCCTGTGGAGGCTCCGGTCTTTGAGTTGCCAGCGGAGCTGCTGCAGGCGGCCAGCTCCTGGGAGCTCATGTACTACGCCTCCAAGAATGTCGATGGCAAGAACTGCCTAAAAGTAGTGCGAAGTCTGCTGACTAATAAAGGTAAGAACAAGATCAAGGTTTGATCATACATCATCGATTTGTTAATGTTCCTTATTCCGGAAAGTGTATATTTGATTAATGGCAAGTGTGCCATTAAAGCTGTTCATTCTATAATAGATAAAAGTAAAAACTAAAGTGGATAATTGAGTGTGTTACAATCATTGCTATCTACAAGTATCTGGATTTGATAACTGATTTAATAACAATACATGTAAAGGGTACTTGAATTTACCCGAGTTTCGTTTACTAAATAATATAACTCACAATCAATCTTCTAGAAAACGTATTTATTTTAAGGAACAAGATTTAAACAATACCCAAGTACCTTTATCAATATCTTTATCATATATCTGCATTTGAAATAAACCAAGAAGATTACCATTGTTATTAAAGTATTTTGATTTTATGGCCTCACTTTTTCTGTGGTTCAGGGCCAACAACTTGACTTAACTTATCAGTAAAGTGCAGTCTGCAATATGTGTTGGCCTCAAGTTGTTGAGTTTTATCTTATCGAACGATTTAATGTATTTCCAATTAATGGACTTTATGGTTGCTTTCCCCCGTTTATTTGGTTTCTTTTATTCTGGTCGACGTGTGAACAAACACGACAACCATTTTTGCACATATAGGCACAAATTTAATAGGTTCTTCATTTCCCCTTAAATATATTTGCCTTCCATGAGTGTGTCTCGGACTTTGTATTTATTTTGCGATATATTGATCGTGCGGGCTTGTCATTAGAGTCTCGACTGCCATGTTGATATTTGCACAACTTATGGTGGCTATTTTACTCTCATATAATCGTCTAGGTTTTTAGCAAGTTCATTAGAAAAAACTATTAAGTTTGCCGCTAAAGGCACATGATCTCATCTTGTGCGCCCGTGATATTGATGTCTAGGGCTCTGTTCCTGCTGCTTATCAACGCAACGCTTATATTAATTTTTTTCCCAAAATGTGAAGAGGAGCTTTTGCATGGGGCTTATCTTTCAGTCCGACAGATACACTATCTTTTGCAAATTGATTTGCGCGAAAAAAGCTCTGGTCATTAATTGCCATTAAGGCAGATAAAACCACATGACCCTTTTTTCTGCTTTTGTCTGGAAGTCATCACTGAAGTTTATTAGCAACGTCAAATGAGTAAAAAGTCATTAAAGAAAACGTTTTATGACTTGCAATTAAGCTTCACTGGATTTTAAACTAAAGTTGTTATAAGGCATAAAGGTTTTCCTATAAATAACTGAAAACATTTTAATTTTCTATACAAAACAGACATTTAAAATGATTTATAAAGTATAAATAAATACGCTTACTAAACAGTTTTTTTTAGGACTTTAAAATCTTTTAACATGTAGATGTTTCTTTCCTTGCGAATTGCTATATGTTAAGTAGGTACAAATTTACAAAACCCATAATATTCTCGAAAACACAGACCTATGCAATCTTACATATTTCGAAGGTATTATAGATGTCTTAACCACAGACATAAAATTAACGAGTTGAAAATACTTTTATGGCAAGAGTTGTAAATCATTAATTGGGCCATTAGTTTGGAATACTTTCTTCATCTGAACCTTTTATTTATATATACGTGTAGTCTGGAAGAATCGTGAGTTGAGTACCTAACACTGATCCCGTCCTATTTCCTCTGTGATACCTAAAGTTCTTGGAAATGTATTCCAGATTCGTACGCAGAAAATTACCCGCGTTGTTTTTCGCGCCCTATCCATGAATGGGATTAGGATTATGCGGAAAACGTTTCCGGTTTTCGTTGGAGTTTTCCTTTTGTGTTACCTATAGAATAGGAAATACGAATATTTGTACATACGTATGTATGTATTTATGACAAAGAAAAAACAATTGGCGATCAGCTTTGGTCTTCTCATTTGCATCTTAAGTTTGCAGGGGTTTTCATAGAAAGAAAAAGATAATATATTGGGTATTTTCTTGCTGTTTGCAATAGTTTTTTTTGGAAGATTTTCATTAGTTCAAAATTAGGAATTGAATGCTTTATACAGATAAAATGTATCCCATAATAAATCTACCATTTTTTAAACCGATAATGATAAATTGTTCAATTTTTTCTATATTATATTAATATTTATCCAAATAAAAGAAATACAAATTCCATATTGAAATCGTTAAACACGTTAAAAATAAAATATTTGTAAATTATCAAAAAAAAATTTAATAGCAATTAAAATGTAATGAATTATAAAATAACGCTATAAAAGATACAGAGTATGTACAAGTCGAACATCGCAGCCGCTCCTTTTTTGCTTTTTTCACGCTGGCAATACTGTACCGAGAGCTCGAGATGTCGAGCTGCTCTCTTTAGTTCTCTCATTCGGCTCTCTCATTGTGAATGGTGGTGGATTTCAATCAGTGTTGCCAGTCTATGACTATTCGTATAAGCTAGATTCTTAGCAAAAATAAGCTAAATACTATTTATTTATTTTAAAATATTTGCCCAATTTCTGGTAAGGCAGAAGCTTAAGTTTACACAGTTAACAGTTAGTAGTAATATTTAGAAAGCTAAAATGATCCAGATTGGCTCCGAAATTTTGCCAAGATTTGGCAAATGAAAAACGCTAGATCTAGTGCGAAAGTAGCTAAACTGTCAACACAGTATCTCGCATCTCGTATCTGTAAATTACACAATTTGTGCGAAAAACAAGCAGCTGCCAAACAACAGTTTCCTAAAATTGCCAAAGTCAAGGGAAGAGAAGTGCATTTTGTGTTGTGTGATAGAAAATGATATGAGCTAGAGAAAACTTTGCCAAACTGAGTAAAAAGAATAAATTAAGAAACACGCAAAAGGCATAAGAAGAAGAAAACCCCCTTGTTCGTTTGTGTGTTGGTGCTCCGTCACGAGTTTGGAGCGCAGTTTTTGTTTCTTCTACCGACATAGATTTGAAGTTTTCGCGTTTAAAGTTTTGCGTTTGCTGTGGTTAATGTCTCTCACCTTTGGACTCTTGAGCAGATCAGCCTTGCGGCTGTTATATACACTTATTTATTGTGAAGTGAAGTGAAACAAAACGAGCAAAAAAAAACTAAGCGGAATAATTCGGAACATGTGAGTTTATTCTCTTTGCTTGCGTAAATTTCCCATCTAGCCAGAATTTCCAGCTGCATAGCGATGTGTCTTGTGACTTTTGTCCGAGAGATGGAGATTCACAAATACCGATGCCATTTCCCTTTCACTCGAAATGTATGTGGGAAAAACGCCTTTTACTTTGAGTGCTAATGCAGTTGCTGTTGTTGTTTTTGTTGCTGCTGGTTTTGTTTCTCCTTCGCTGCCGGTCCTCCTCGGTCGCAGCCAGCGTCGCAGCTGCCATTTGCGTGTGTGTGTTTGGTCTAGCAAGAAGTTCCAGTGTTCCAAGAGCGCGAGAGTTTCCAAGCTGCGCTCATGGCTAAAAATAAAAACAAAAGATAACATTGACCAGTCGAGCGAGGTTTAAAATATTTTATTCGGCTAAGCGAAATCTTTGAAAATAAATTAACGAGAGATTGCGCATGCTCCACGGATAGTGGGTGGCAGAGAGAGAGAGAGCAAAAAAAAAAAACGGAACAAGAGAGTGACAATTGAGCTGAGAGTGAGAGAGAGCGCGACATGACAGTTATTCACATTTTCTCTTGTGACTGGACAATTCGCATTAATTTAACAATTAGTTTTGATGTTTACATTTACGACTATCTAGGCAATTGAAAGTAAATATTCAACGAAAATGTACAAAGTCATGTGATGCCAGAGAGCAGGAAAAAAACAGCGAATAAAGTGTGGGAAAGTAACATTTCCACCCTTCGGCCTGCAAACAAACCGAAAGAAGTGCCTTGCCAGAATTTGTAAAATGCCTTAAAAATTACATAATACAGCTTGAAAGTAAATTGCACACGACGCCTTGCCAATCGAAACGATTTAAATTTAATTCAGATCAAGACAAAGAATGCCGCAATCTGTGCTGTGACTAAGAAAAGAATTCACAAAAGAAGAGCAAAAAATGACGCACGTAAACAATGCCAAAGGAGAGATGGAGATGGAGAAGGAGAAGGAGGAGCAGCAGAAGGAGCTGTGGCGAGAGAGGGAAATTGCTGCCGGCAGCAGTGCTAACCATCGATTTTTACCAAATGCAGCGGAGCGAGATGGCGATACTGCTGCCTTGGATGCTGCAGCTGCACCACCAACAACGACAACAACAACAACAAAGATAACCTGCTTGGAAGACTTTGCCTTTGATGCATGCCAAAATTGGTCGCAATTAGACGAAGACTTTTGCATCACGGACGATGAACTTGAGTACGAGGATGAACTCTCATTGGGAGGCTGTAATATGGCAGTGGCAGCGGTCTCCGCAGCAGAGTCTCTATTAACGGGAGATCAGCACAACGAGCAACTGCTAATGGAAGGTGCTTTAAAAGTTAATTGTGGGGCTCTGTAATTTCAAAATTACTTTACTAAATTAGTGGCGTCCACAGCCTTGACTCGCAACTAGGAAAATTTCTCTGTTCACCTGTGCAGCTGTGCGGTGAAATTATAATTTTTGTGGCTTAATGTGTTTAGACCTAATCATGATTGTTTTAGTCATATGTATTGTTTATGCAATATTACAAAAATTACTCTTTTTTATCAGAAATGTCCACTTTTATTTATATCACAAAAAGGCAATTCGAAACGAAAAATACTCATTCTTTCTTTCTTTAGAAACATTCCAAAATGTAGTATAATATGCAATTTAAGGAACCCAACTCGGTTCTTTCAAAAATTATCATTATAAACCTTACTTCGTATAAGAGGTGAGGCTCTTTCCTGAGCCTTCAATTAGATTCTGTTTTGGTTTCAACTTAAAAAAACTGTCAAACATCGATAAAAACATAAAAATATGCTAAAGGATACATTTCCAACCAAATCTATAACAACAATATTGTGAATTTTTATATATTTTTTGTAGTTCTATGTGGAAACCGCGTTAGCCAGATGACTCGCGCATACGATGACATTGAGGCCGTGACGCGACTGCTGGAGGAGAAGGAGAAGGATCTGGAGCTGACTGTCCAGATCGGTAAGGAGTTGCTCACCCAGAACAATGCCCTCGAGGCGAGAGTCACGGACCTGGAGGCCGATCTCAAATCGTCCAACGACGATCGTGCCCAGCTGGTCCATGAGCTGCACAAGAAGAACGAGCTCATTTCGGTGCTGACAAATGATGCGGACGATGGCACGGATACTGGTGAGTGTTCTAAAGGATGTACATTTCAATTGTTCTATAATGTAAACATATATTTCCGCAGATACACCCACAATGTCCAAATCGATTACCTTGGATCTGCTGCAGCGCAAGGTGAACACGTTGCTCGACGAGAACAAATCGCTGAAGAGCGAGGCTACCCAGCTGGCCCACAAAACGGACGAGGTGGAGGAGCATGAGCGCCAGCTAATGGCGGACATCGGCGCTCAGCTGAACGATGCCAATTCCCAGTATGACACTATCAGCTTGGAGCTGGAGCGGCAGCGCGAGGAGAATCGATTGCAGCACGAGCAGATCGTTAGTTTGACCGCTCGCCTGGCTGAGGCGGAGATGCGGCTGCATCAGCTGACTCAGGACAATGACGAGCACCTTTCGCTTCTGCACGTGACCAAGGAGAACCAGAACGCCCTGGCCCTGGAGCTGGTGGAGTTCAAGCAGCGGTACGAGGAAGTGCTCGCCCTGCTGCACTCGGCTCAGGACCAACTGAAGCAGCAGCGCAAGCGGTCGCAACCGCAAGCACGCAGCTCCTTCCTTGGAGGCCTGGGCACGAGTGGAACTGGCGTTGGTGGCGGCCTCTTCCAGCCGGATTCGCTGCAGTCTGAGCTGATGGAGTCATCGCTGTACTCGGAGAACAGCCTTGATTCTGGCATCTCCGGGGATAGCCAGCGATCGGCCGACCGTATCAGTCGCATGATGATGCAGATGCCTTCCGGCGGCATGAGCTCCTCCACCATGGGTGGCAGCATCTACGCTGGAGCTGGCAATGTGCCGCCATATAAGCGGGTGTTTGACACTGTACGATGTGCTGGTAAGAGTGGCAACTACATGGACAGTGGCAACGTGTCGATGACCCAGTTGGGTGCCATGTCGATGAGCAGCACTTCGGGGCCGCGTATGGCATCTATGGCGTATCCAGCGGGCTCATACTACCGCGGCGCTAGCAGTCAATCGCTGGGCGTTAAAACTCTGTCAAGTGAGAGTCTCAACTCCCAGTCTGATGACGGCTATCCAGCCCAGCCCTCTGGTGTGCCAGGAGCGCCCGGCGCCAAAGAGTTGGAAGCAGCACTTAAGCGTCTGACGCCGGCCGAGGTCTTGGCCCGCCGAGCGATGCTCTCATATGCTCCGGCTGGCACCTACAACTACGATGAGCCGACGGCACACGGAACGGGTCACGAGCGCAACTCGAACCTCCCGCTAGGCGTTCGCACGCCGGACAGCATCATGTCCACGGGCTCGTCTGGAATGTCGGGATCAACGAATCACATGTCCGCCTCTATGACGCACCAGTGGCGCCTGCCCGAAAAGCTGCAGATTATCAAGCCGATGGAAGGATCACAGACCCTGCACCATTGGTCGCGCTTGGCCACGCCCACGCTCAGTGGCCTGCTCGACGAACGTCCCGGAGTAACGATCCGAGGCGGTCGAGGATTGGATGACCTGGGCATGCAAGTCTACACGCTATCGGACGTCGAGGAGGATGTCAGTGATGATTTGCCCGGCAAGCAGTTTGAGGCACCTGGCTGCACCTTCACCTACACCACAAGCATGGTTATGCATCCGGATGATGGCTTCGTAAATGACCTCTCGTTCCTCTCGCAGTCGCAGATGTCTTCGCGCATGGCCTCCACATCGACGTCAAGACAGCCAAGGTAAGACAAACTTTAGATTCTGTCCCTCTTTAAGTTACTTACGACTTCTCCTTTCAGTTGTCCTGCAACGCCTCGCGCTGGACTCTCGCGCAAGAACTCCTGCTCCACATTCTCGGTAAACCTCGGTCTGGCTGGAATGCTGAACGAGCGAGGAATCAAGGCTGTGACACCCAGTGCCCTCAACACCCCCGCCGGTCCCAACTTTTCGCCCACAGTGACGCCCTGCAACAGCCCCGAGGGTTCACCACCCAGGTGCCAGTCGCCCGAGCCTCTCTTCGGCCTGCTTTCTTCGGGAGCGGATCTTATCCGCCGCAAGATTGTCGGTGACCAGCACCAGCAGAAGCAGCGGAGCACTCTGAGCAAGCAGCAGCAGCAGAAGATTATGCTGTCGCACCTTGAGAGGCGGGCTCTGCGTTCGCTGAACCTAATCGAGAAGGTGGAAAGCATCGGACTGGAGAACATCATCCATGCACAGCGTGGCGTGGGCTCGGGAATAGCCAACCGCAGCAGTTCGCCGCTAAGCAGTGGAAGTTTGCAGAGTCTTCATACCAGCACCAACAGCATTGTGGACGACATACACTTTGATCGGGCGCAAATTAAGGGCGTCCTGCATCGAGGCCTAAAATCACCAACACCTGCAGCACCGTCAACATCAGCGGCAGCAGCGGCATCGGCAGGAAGCGGTGCAAAATCGACGATCAGCAGTAGCAGCACCAGTGCTTACAACAGTGACGATAGCGACGATCAAGGCCTGGTGATGAAAATCAAGCCGACGAAGAGTTCAACGCCGACAACATCAATAGCACAAAGTCTGTCATCGTCTTTAGAGAAGGCATCGACGACCAATGGCGGCGGAACAGCAACCGAGACGCGACTAAAGCAGATGCAGCGCCAGAAGTCGCGAAGGCAGCTGAAGAACGGCATGGCCAGCCAGAGGCCCGACCTGGGAACAATCGCTGGCGGTGGAGCAGGCGGCGGACGAGTGCGGCCTGATCTGGGCAAGGTATCGGACAGCACCAGCAGCGGCAACACCACCAAGTTAGGCTCCAGGAGTGGGGCGAAGGCAGCGGAGGAGGAGGAGGCGGCGCCGCAGACTATCACACAGGCGTTTGTGGGCTCGGTTAGTTCCTTGCTGTTCGGCCGAAAGGGCGGTTGGCTGTAAAAATATGAGCTGAGGTCATTCACAACCTTATTCTTTATTCTAAACGTAAAATGAATGCTTTTTGCAAGTGAAAAATTTCAATTTTTATTTAAGCACAACGCGAATCGAGTTTAAGTAACGAAATGTAATGTTATCGTGTGTACGTTTAATTTTTATTTTTATATATTTTTTTGCCGCCCGGCCGTAAAGCTCCGCAAAACGCCTGTCATCGCCACCTTAACGCAACACTGGAAGGAAAGGCTTTAGTGTTTGTAGCTGTGATTTGTAAATACATATAGAGAAATGTTTAAATTTAGTAGTTATTAATCGATTACTTCGCATACTATTATTATTTTTGCTTCAATTGAAGGCGGCAATTTAGGGAGAACCAAAACGATGGCCAGTTCGGAGTTCCAAAGCAGCTATTTTTAGTTTACACAACACTTTGCCAACTTTGTATTTATTTATCCTGTGTTTATTACCACTTAAACGAAGACAAAACCATGTATACATACATATATTTTTATGATTTTTTTGGGGATAACTATTTGTGTATAGAGTCGAAGCAGGTGCGCCAGTTTGTATATAGGAATCAGGAAAAGCGAAGCGAGAGAAATCTGTAACTTGAATGTGGTTAAGCAAAGAAGTACATATATATTTTTTTACACTCGTATGTAGTTTACCTTTTTTGCTTTCCACACGATGGAGATGTGCTCCCAGCCCAGCCCTACCCAAATATCTATAATCACAAAACATGTAACTCAAATTGCTATCGCTATAAATCGTAATATTTACTTGTCTCGGTGCTTTGTTTGCTGCCATACCAAGATACATAAACTCAATTGCAGCGAGAAACTATTATTTTTCTAGTCCTATCCTGGGTCGGTGCTCGTTTGGCTAAGTAAAATATATATCATGCTTAGCTTCAAAACAGAGCGCCCTTCACTCGCGAAGCCTCAAAACTTAAGAACACTGAACAAATGTGTGCAGATATGCGTATTAATAGATTCATTAATGAAAACATATAGCAGCAAGATCCAGTAAAACACATATTTCATTGGTGCACTGATGGACAACACACTTCCTTAGCTGACACATGTTATCAAGACACTCGCAGACACACTCTCTTAGCAAACCAGAGGCAGTCTATTGACAGAATCCTCAGAATTATTAATTTTTAATTTGAGTGACAAAAATATCATGTATTAAGAGGAGAATTACGAATAATATCAAGATCGGGGAGTTGTACGAGTTCTTTTGAGGATTTATGTTTAATGGCATTTAAACAAAAGAGTGTTGGACTCAAAAGCTAATCGAGTGTGTTATACCTACAGAAATAACGAATGAGAATATTGGAATACAGAAAAGATTGTAAAAGTTATTAGTTTTAATTACCAATATATTTATTTATATTTGCAAAAATAAAGAGAACATCGTTAAATACAAATCGAATGAATCGAGTTTTTATTTGTTCATATATGGATTGAATTTATTTTTCCAGCCTCCCTCAATATAAACTATTGAAGGATGCTTAAAATTTTAATTTTAGATTTACTTAATAAGGTAAACTTCCACAGTTCTATTTTAAGGATTGAGGATTGCCTTACGTTAGTACATATATCAATATACTCCACGGTAGAATGGTGACTTTTATCTTTTGCAAGTTGGCAGGACATGGCTACATCGACTCTCGTTAATGCTGATCAAGAATATATATGACTTTTTGTCGCGCTACTTCTGACAAAAAAAAAATACTCTTCGAGGCTATACAATTAATATATACCAGCTATTTTTTAGCATTTTTTATATACATACTTAAACATTTTATCATTTCTTATTTGTGTAAAATTTTGTTTTCATAACCTTGCAGGGTTTTAAAATTTCAGTCAGAAGTTTGCAACGCAGTGAAGGAGTTATCTCCGCCATATAAAGTAATATATGCATATTCTTTTAAGTTTAATGAAAATCGGAATACTATATTAGAAATAATAACTATGATCAGTAAGTAACTCTCAACAGTAAGTATCTATTACCAGTAAGTATGTATGTATGATCAGTTACTAACTTTAAACACAGATAAACAATGACTTGCAACTTTTGTAACAACACATTTCTAATACTTGGCCGGAAGAAGTCTCTTCGTTCCGGGGATGTTAGAACCAGTTGAGAATCATATGCACACATGTGCGAGATTTGTTTTGGATGAAATTTAAAAGCAAGCTATTTGAACGAAACTTTGGAGTTCTTTTTCTATATAATTTTACTAGTATATGAGTCGTGGCATGGCGTATCGGTGGACTATATATATATATATCTGCAATAGGAACAATCGGAAAATTTTAAAATCAAGTTTAATATATAGCCATTATATATTAGTCTAGAATTTTGTGTAATTTTAATTGGTTACATACATTCTTAATTAAAAATAAATATAAATTACCAGTGAATATTTTAAGATTCGCCTTTATTCCAACTCTGTCAGTTTTGAGCTTATATATAGAAATATATATATGAGCCAATATATATGTTTGACAAAGTGGACCCAAGGAAATGGCCATCATCAGGAACTTACATTTTTCCATTTGAATAAATCCAGATTAAACAAATTAACCCAAGTCCTCTTGGAACAAACATTCAAACGTTTTTAGAAATAACACACCATAAAATTTGTATAATTTTAATATAGATCATTTTTATTTCCTTGTAATGACTAACATTTTAAAAAATTACAATTCAATATTTTGGATAAATTATTTTGTAAGCATTATATATTTGTTTTTATTTTCGGCTTATGTTTTTTTTTGTCGTGCTTAATTTCGTCTTCGTTTTCTCACACACATTTTAATTTGTTAATTTGTTGTTTACAATAAGGTTTAATTTTTTTCATGTTCATTTTCTCAATTTTAATTGTTTTTTTCTTCTATGTGGTTTGTTGCTGCTGGATTGAAGATTTATTGCTTGGTTGCAATTTGTTGAGTTTAAATGTATGTAGTCATTAATGTAAAATTTGTAGTTCTATAATACATATATATATATATTTAAATATATCATCCTGGAGTCGCACATATAGGCACCCGAAGAGATGCAAATATGTGCGAAGCCGGTTGATAATTGTAATGTTCAAAATAAGCAATAGCATAGCATATAAAAGAAGGTTGGAAATATATAAATATACATCTATTCAAATCAAATATTTTAGATATTTGCCTTGCTTCGTTGATAGAGTGTTCACAGTGCAAAACTGAAAACAAATGTATGTATATATATATATGAACAGATCGAAATTAATATGCGATTAAGTACTTTTCCCGAACATTTAAAGATCCTTGATTACTTCATTCATTACTTTAGCTTTAGCTGGTAACTGTTGTTAAGTAGATATATTTCGTTTTGTTCACTCTATACTTTGCATTCTAAAATATTTTGCAGTAATTTGTAATGTGTTTGCATAATTTGATTTATTCCAGAATAGTTTGATCCAGAATAATAGTTTTCAACTGCTTTGGCGAGCCTTCTACAACCATTTAATGGGGTATATGGACTGCTCATAATTATCCCTTTCTATATGTTGTGTGGTTACAAAATCAAACTTGGGGTGAATGGACTGAATCAGATTGTAAAATAATAATAAATTACATTAATTAATACATACAAATTCCACAAGTTATGCGCCAATACAATTTCAAGTTGAGATTTAAGATTTAATAATAACTGGGGCTGTGATTCAATTTTTCGTCTATGTTTTCTATCGGGTTTTCTATCATTCCGCAATTGTTTTACATTCTTGCTTTTCTTTTCGTTTGTTTGTTTTGTTTTTTTTTTTTTGTTTTTGAAAAAATGAACACTTTTTATCTGGTGGGAATATACATATGGTTTTGGAAATCTATTGCACAGAACATGAATTTTTATGGCCATTTTTGTGCTTTAGCCGCGCCTTCGGCTTATACTTTTCCAAAAATGAAAGCTGCTTGGCATTGATGGCTCCACGTCGTTTGCTAAAATAAATAAAATATAGATTAGAATATTTAAATTTTATTAGAGCAAGGACAATATAAACGAATGGGATGCAGAACGTTATACGATTCCTTGCTATGCTTGCATGTGGCAATTCAAAGTACGGTATATATCGATATTTCAGCCGAAAGTCGATATACAAATAAATCGATATTCTGATTGTTATCTATATTTTACCGTTAAATTCGATAGTTATTCACTATATATTCCTAATCCAAAAGCGCGTTAAGCATCTTATTCATTTATATTGTCATCGATCGCAGTATATCAGATGAAACTCACTCTCTTATCATTTCCACGGCTGCCTCGTATTTTAAGCCCAATTCGATCAGTGCCAAGGCAACCAAGACAGGAGCTCGTCCCAAGCCTGCCACACAGTGAACGGCGACACAGGCCTCCGGATTTTGTTGATATCTAACAGAGGAAAGCAAAAAAAGAACGTCAAACGTTAAAAAATAGTATGCAAAGTGCGAACAAGGAACCGTGCTTAGATGAGTCAAGTAAATATAGGAATTAAATAAAACTGATTTAAGAGTAAGCGTGTTTGTTTATCTTTTTGTTGTTTTTGTTGGATCTAAATATTATTCTAGGTCTACGCTTACCGACAAGTCTCATTATCAACAAATGCAGTATTATTATATATTGCTGATGCTAATTCGCCAGTATCATTGAGATTATCGTATTCTGTTAGGGGAATGGTATCTGTGGCCCGACTGGAGGCTGCCGATAGACTGGCTCTGGTTGCAGACGCTCTTATTGTTGCTGTTGTTGTGGCTGCTGATGTTGCTGTTGTTGTTGTTGTTGAAACTGTTTTTGGTATGTGTCTGAGCGAGAACCGCTTATGTTTGTAGTAGGATAGTGTGGCGCTTGTGGACTTTCTAAAACTAGGGCACAGCAGCAGCAGTATTGGTATCATAAAATAGCACACGAAACGAATCATATATATTTTAAAATATATATAGGAAGGTAAGGTAAGTTTCGGTTTGACAAAGTTTGATGGCTTACACGTAAAAATAGTGGGTGGGTTATGTGGGTGGGGCTGTGGAGTCCGAAATTTACAAATCAAAAAAGGGTTTGAGAGAACGATTTGTACAAGAAGATTGGAATTAAACAAAATCTGTACAGCAAATGATAACTGATTGCTACGTAGAGAAGCGCTTTTTTTTTAACTAACAAACGAAAATAGGTTAGCAGCTAAGGCGTTGGCGTGGACTAAAAGCAAGGGGTTTTTCTCATCGTCTGAATGTTCGATTATTGATGGTTTGTTTCACATTTATAAACAGCACTTTGGATAGATGGCTTAGCGCAGCGTATAGATTTTCATTTGGATTTCAATTTGATCGATTTGTTCTTTTCATTCAATCGTATGTCACAAAGCAATAAATAATACTGAATAAATTGATAAAAATCACTTGAGGTAATCTATGTATAAATACTCGCGAATATTTCGGATATGAATTATGGTATCTTATGAAATAATATTCAAACAGAATTAGTACTACATTATAATAATCTATGACTAAGCTAGGAAATTAAAATATTTTTTAACTGGAGTTGTAATTGTAGATTACATTTGTTTATAATTATAATGAGATCGGGCAAATGATATATAGTGATCAAATTTTGTGGCAATTGTAAAGACTACAGCAATTTCTTAACAATGAATAGGAAGAAAGCCTCAATTATTTCGACGTACATGATAAATCATGTTGGTAGTCAAAATAATTATCACATTATTCAGTTAAATGTAGAGTTAATCTTTTTTAATGAATGTAGCTTTTTAAATTATTGTTTGTTTTGTAAATCCTTGCAAGGTTATAAAGCCTTCAATGAGCCTTTACTGTGAGTTATCTCATTTTACAAAATAAGAAAATATAAATAAATATATGGCCTTTTCTTCCATTTCAAATGTATATTTTTGGAAAATGTTGTATATAAAGAGTATACAAAATAACATTAAAATTTCTGGCAAAGCTTCTTCTCTAACCCTTGCAAGGCTTCTCTTTTACTTCATCTTATTTTAAATTAAAATACAGAGCTCCAGAGTGATTGCAAAAATGAACAAATGCCCTATGTTCAATGAAACAAATGAGTGTAATATTTAAATATAAGACTAAGTATCTAATCTACGTATAGGCAAAAGTTGTCATTATCTTTACTTACTTATCCTTTAAGACCTCAAACCACTCGTCAACGACTTGTTGAGGCGGAAAGGTGCCGTCCTCAAAAGCCAGGTCCTTGACGCTAATGCCTTGTGTCTCGAGCTCCTCGGTATTATAGCTAGGCTCGCACACGCGGACCACAGTGTTGACATTGTTCTTCTTCAGTTCCTGCGGGAAAAATGATGAAATATTAGAGTAATTCCAAAGAGACAAGACTACGAGGGACTCACCATTATGTAATGATTAATTGTTATGTCTGACGGTCGATCGGTGATTAGGAACTTCATGCCCTTGTACTCGATTAGAGCGGGGGCTGGGCGCAGATCTTTTTGACGCATGTTGATGCTCATAAACGATTACAATCGCAGTTCTGGAGGAGTTAATCTGACTCGGCGGTGTGTGCACTTAAATTAAGTGTAGTTCTTCTTTCAAATTTAACGTGTGGTTTTCACAAAATTTTGTTAGCCTTAATGGGTGTTGTTTGTTGTTTAGGTTGTTCTTTTTACGGAAGTAATTCGATTTCTAGATTTAAAAATTCAGCGTGTTAGAATCTTACAATTGGGTTTCCTTCGTTTAGTTCCGAGTTATGTATACAAAATAAATAGAATTATAATAAACTCTGCTTTAGCTTAGTACGCCTAAATTGTTCACATCAAACACACACAAAACTAAATTCTATTCCTTATGACGAAATTAGGTATTCTTTTTAATAATTAAGTACAATTTTGGATTTTTCTTCTATCACAAAGAAAATCAATCAATTTCCTTCGACGATTTCTTCCTCGCACACTCACAAAATGATTCCCTGTTAAGTTAAGCACTCGTTTTTCTATCGAAAATGATTGGATTTTAGAATAAATGTTAATTTTGTTACAATTTCCTTTCAGCTTTGTTGCGATAAATAAAAATATGTCCCTGCTGTGATATGATCTGCGATCTCCGCGATGCTAAAAATGTGTTCTCCTTCAATGTATCTCCTGCACAGATTGGCTACTGAGGCCCGTTGATGTCGCAATATCAGCTAATCCGTTGGAGGTATCCAGCTGAGCAGATGCACCAACTTATCGACGTCGACTTCCGAAGAGGTGACCGTGTTCACTCAGGCTATCACCGCCTTGTTTGAGAGTTGATTACCTGCAAAGAAATGGAACGAGGCGATAGCTTAGTACACGAACTGGGAAAATCTGGTTACCATCGGTTCGGGGCTTCTTTATTTAAGGCACATACTACTTATATTGTTCACTCAATTGGCGACTATTTGGGGGGAAACTAAAAAACAATTTAGCTCAATTACACGCAATGAAATAATTGAGACTTTTGCAATTTTACCCAGACACGCTTCTCGGTGCCCTTATCCATCTCGGTCAAGCCAGCAGTTGTCCGGAAAGGTCACTGCGCTTAATTCTCATCCAGTCAGCTGACCTTTCCATCACCACCCACTTGCACTGCACAACCACACTCACACATACATAGATAGATAGAGAGGAACACCCACAACTTTGAGCCAATTAATTAGGAATGAAAAGCGGAAAGTGTCCAGGAGGTCCTTGGAGAAAAATAATCCATATCAAAGCTTACTTTTTATTTGTGCTGTGCCTGGCAGTATTCTGCACTGTCTAGATGAAACTCCATAGATGTGGGAACAGGTCTAACCAACTGCAAAAGAAGAGAATTGGAAATTAGTATAATTTAGATATATTAAATCATTTAAGGAAACTAATTTACAAGTTATAAGGCGGATGTCTGGTTTAAAAATATTAAGTATCTGAAGATATGTACATATTAAAGTATCATAATATTGGTCAAATGTATTTAAAGCTATTATTATTTATTTGTGGTGAAAGAAGAGATAATAAATAACCTTTAAAGTACTAAAAACGTATTAAATGGTAACCCCTACAGCATTATCTATACAATTTTTAAATCAAAATTAGCCAGTATAAGGTGCTTTATATTTTAATAGAGCGCAGAGAGTACCCCTTTTATTATTTTTGTCATTTAAATATACATTTTCGTACAATGTCCCATTTAAGTGAGGTAAATGCGCTTCAGTCTTAAGACGGAAATAATTTGCAAAAAGAGGAGCACATACTTTTGAGAATGCCATAAATCAGACTTTAATTTTACAAGCTTATTGCATTTATAATTCTGGCAGATAAAAGACAATAATAATATATTACCTTATTTTCTGACAAGCAATTAAAAATGTATTTAAAATACTTTGCAGTATATGTAAGCTGGTTTAATAAATTCTACATTTTATAAATAAATAAATTTCAATTTATCAAGAATAAAAATCAAAGAAATATTTACATAAAGAAAGTATAAATTGGGTCGCTTAGCTCGATGCCTGTGAGCGGAAACATTAAAAATATATTCCCTAAAAGCGATCCAAGATAATTTTTGCTCTAGACAAACGGGGAAAATCGTTTCCAAGAACATTTACATTATATATGTACAAACATATATAAATGTATATAAACATATATATTTAGAGATCTGTTGTTGATCGTGAAAAAAAACATATGTATAAAATTAGTCCACAAATAAAGACAGAACCAGAACACAATGATTGTATAATGCGTATAGTATTCCTCACGGAAAAAGGTGATAACACTTAAAGCAAATATTCCATTTATTATAGCACAAGTTTATTTTAGCATTTTGGGCCTTAAGCACAGTAAGTTCCATTGAATTGTTGCCGGCCTGCAATTACTGTGTACTTATGTTTGGGGAAATCCATTACGGGACACAGGCACTCGTGAAACTAATTAAGAAGTGGGCGCAAAAAATAAGTTTGTTGTGATAGAACTCGATAGAAAAACTTTCACTTGTTGGCATGTGTATATACTTAAAGCGGACTAGTACATACTAGATATTTCCGTGGGTGTGTGTGAGTGTGTTTACCCCATGACACCTCTCGGACAACAAAAACACTTTTTGTTGATGCTATTTCGCTGTCGATTTTTACTTGCGACTTATGCAATGTGTTTTTTTTTTATTTGTGATTTGCGTCTTGGCGAATTTAAAAAGTCACACACAAACGCGAATAAAAATATATAGCGATTTACGTTCGGTATATACACATATGTATGTATATAACATGAACTTTAGGTAACCGATTGTTTACTGATTACAACTGGAATCCCGATTAGATATGGACGTCAGTGTCAGGTGTCAGTTGGAGCTTCCAAGACGCCGGATCGGTTTTATCGCCGATTATCAGTCGGATCGACGAGCACTCTCCAAGCTTTTTATGGCAACTGAGGAGATCCACCACCAGCCACCTCGCAGCATGTGTACGCCACTCTCTCGCTGTGGAGACTTACTGGTGGAGATCGAGGACTTGAGGGGGAGGGGATAGAGGATAAAAACCAATTACCACAGTTAGTCGCCCGTGATGCGACGCGAGAGGATCTCGATTAAGTATCGACAAGTGTCGATTCTGAGCCTTTGATCGATAACGATTATTCCACTAGGCAGACGCGTATTGATGCGCGATGAGCACTCTCTCATGTTTCGCAATCGACTGGCGCGATAGGCAACTCATCGCTCGCCATATGTACGGCCCCCACTGTGGATACTTACTGCCGGCGAGATATATAGAGAGAGTGAGAGAGAGCGAGAAAGGGGCGGCAGGAGTGGCAGAGAAAGAGAGAGTCGTGACGCCAGTCGCTCAGTTCACTTGGCACGGCTCCCATGACGCACATCTCTACACTCTTCATTCACGCGGTGAGCAGTGCCAATGTATAGGTGAGCTGGCCTGCCGACAACCCCTCCCCCCAGTGTCCCCCCATTCCCAACAACTCCCTACAAAATTATTTTACAGTCTGCTGCATATTTAAAGCTCTCTAAAACGGATGTCGTACAAAACAGTGGGGGTGCAATTAATAGCAACGATAGGTTGAAGGAGGTATTATTTTTGTTATCCAAAGTAAGATTTTAATTTAAAATCTATCCTACTTTACAAGCTAAATGCAAAGTTTTTAAGACCAAAATTAATTTAATAATTTTTAATCAATTGATTAAATAATTTTAAAAATATTTTAGGAAATTACGTAGGTTAAAAGATAAATTTGTATATATTAAATTTTTATATTTTGCTTTTTAGCTAAATAAATAAGTGTGTACAAATTTTTGGAAATAAATTATTGATTAATTGATGTTAAAGGAAAGGTTTATCAGAAATATGTCAAAACATTTTTAAAGACTAGTTCTTATTTGCCTTATTATTAAATTGTTCCCTCACAACTTTCCATAATATATTTAAACCAAATCACATTTTAACTTTAGTTCTCAACTAATTTAACTTTTAAGGCACACAAAATCAACTACAGGAAATATTACAGGTAGGCTCAACCTTTGAGGGAGCTCCAAGGTCAGTTGTTATTTAAGGGCAATAAACAAAGCTTAATGCGGTTTATTATATGCACAGTTAATCAAGGTTAGGGCCGCTTACAACTGGTAACTTAATATGAAAGTGGTGTTATATTAAAGTCAGTTAAATCTAATCAAGATGTAGGCAAATGCCATGACGACAATAATAGGTAATTGTTGCAATGTATTTACTATATGTTGGGTATATATTATGTACATACATTGTATGTATATTTGTCATACCCGACTGCACTTCGATGTAGATACAATATAATCTCATGGCTAGTTAAAGCTTGATATCACATATTTGCACAAGGAAATTGGGGCTAATACTGTCTATAATATTATCTATTTATCTATTCTAAGTATCTATTTTATTTTATTTATTCTTTAGGTAGTTACTCATGAACCCTTTAAAAACAAAAATATTCTATACGAGGGAGCAATTGTTTTGTATCCCAAAATCCATCTTAGATACTCATGATTTAATTAAAATTTAAATGTTTACTCAGGGCCTGTAAATTTGCTTTAACGATTCCTTTTCTTGGGGTAGCAGATGTGTTGAGTCTAGGATAAAATTGATTGAAATTCCGAGACAAGGACCAGACAAAAACAGGTCGGTGGCATTTATACTTGTACTGCAAACCAGACAAGGGACAAAGAACTCAAGTAGAAACCAAAAAAACTGCGAGACAATAAACAAAAAACAAAGGTAAAGGTACAAAGGTATATTTTTGTTTTTTATCCAATCATCCAACATTTTGGAAGTTCGGTGGTTGAATATTCACTGAATTTCAGGTATTTTCAACCAAAAACATTAGTGAAAGGAAAACTTATGGTCATATATCTGGCTCTCTACTTTGGTTCAAAGAACTTTTACTTGATTTCTTATGAATTAAGTTGCAGGCAAATACTTAGCATTGTATTTAATCGGAATCCTTAAAAAACAAGCAGACAGACAAGGCAAACACTAGCCTGCTGGCTGTTTTTACAAAGCGAAACAAATAAATCATTGTAAACAAATTAAAACGGCGTGAAATTTGATGATGGCAACTGTCATTTAAGTTTCAGCACGACTTAGCAAATGTCTGCAGTTGTCAAATAAAACGAGAGACGTGCTGAATCAGCAGGCAAAGCCAGACATAACGCAGACACGCAAGTACAAACAATTATCGAAATCAAATCGGGTATAAATTATTTGCAGTAGTTGGGAAAAACAACAAGAACTAGAAGACTAAACAACAAGAACTTGAGCAAGCAAGAGATTATTATTTAAACGGCTATGGTTTGTACACATCAAACACTTTGGGATGTAACCAAAACTTTAACCCATGAGGTAGAAATTCTAGAGATTAACCATAAAATGCCGTTAAGGGAGATGATTTTACTAGCTGTAGCTGTAAATTTACTAATGCTATTAGTGTCACCAACTTGGACAGCTTATTAGACATTTTAATCAATAGCTTTTCTTATTTTCTTATTTACAATTTCGCTAAAAATCCCTACATTTTTAGAGAAGCAATCCATTAGGCATGCCAAAGTTTTTCTTACCTAAGTTAATCAAACAAACAAACACGCTAAGAACACACTCACAGAAATTTAAGCCTTATTAACACTACACAAAGACCGCAAAAATCCGAGAAAGAAGGCTTCGTTTTGGGCCCCACAACAAACTAAAAATCATACTGAGTCCAAGTTACGAGTTATTGATTTTGCGACTAATGGAGGCAGTGGATCTCCGCCTCCTGGCTCGCATCCTTGATTTCGTTATTTCGCCATAATGGAAATTTCGAATTCGTGGAAGAACTTTCCGTTTGCACAGGACTAGGAGATGAGTAGGAAGCGGAAGCTTTAGTTAGAGCCTTGTCACACAATTTACGATAGTTGTGAAATAGTACAAAATAACAATTGTATTTATAATTGTTTAATATACAATATATATTCTATTTTCAGTGAGAACGATTTTATGCAAAATTCTAATTCAATGTGGAAATACGTAAAACTATGAATCCTGTACTTAAACCGAAAAGTCCGAAAATTAGTAGTAGATTTTTTTACGGTTTATAAGCAATACTTTTTTATAGTTCTCACATTGTTTTATCTACAAATTTGCGCACTACCCTTTTAACTTTATCCCAAAATTTTAATTAAATATATTTTTTCATATATTCATAATATTTTATTTATTTAACAATATATTATATTAAGATACGAGTCATGACACTGATGGTTGACAGTATGCGTCATCGTGTTTTTTATTGTATTTGCTCTCAACCAGAAAAGCAGAGAGGGAGCCCGAGACCGGCTGTTGCCGTTTGTTTTGATAAAAAGACTAATCAAAGTACTATATATGTATATGGTAAACAATCATCTTGTTATTGCAATTATCTAATGCAAGTCCCTGCCACAAATTGCTTGTCTTCCAAGGTTGATTTTGACAAAAATTACCCTAACAAAATGTCGTCGTCTTACTATACAGTTTTTGTTTATTTCGCCTTAGCCAAGGGCAGGGCAAACTATTGAGGACAAACCGCACAACATTTATAGCACTATATATAGAATCCGTTGGTGGTTGTCGCCGAGGGAGGGACGGTGGTTTCGAGGGTGGTGTACGGTGGGCGGTGGCACTTTGCTATCTGCCACCCTTCCACCTACTGACGTTTGTAAATCGTATTGCATGCTTTGCTGTTTGTTTTTGGTCTATATTTAGAAATGACATGTATTGGTGAAATTCTGCACACAAGCTGCCAAAACGTGACAGCAGTAAAAATAATACAACGCTGCGATATATAGCCAGGAAAAGTATTTTATCCACACAAACTCTAATTAGCGAGTGCTTGAGAAACTTACTTCAAACTCCAATCAATTTCAATAAATCGAAATGACCTCTAGCAAATTGGTGGCAATTTAATGACCATAAATTCAGAAGTATTCACTTGGTACATAAATGTTTGTAAGGTCTCGCTCGAACTCGTATGAGCAGGAATATAGAGAATACTTGAAAACTGGCAGAAAGCAGATAAACCCAGACCATGGCGATCGAAATGCGAAAAACTGGAAGCAAAGAATTCTGGGTGGAGAACGAAAAATAAGGAGGAAATGTGTGTGTACATATGCTCTATACATGAACTCTATCATTTAAGCAGAGAGTATTTCAATGTTGATTAAACTTTTTGCATCACAAGACTTCATCAAGTGTGGATCTTAGATAAGACAAAAAAAATAAATGGGAACACTTGAATTATAAAGAAAGAATAACTTATCTTTTTCCTGGTGGAATGGAAAAGTTATTATAAAGTTGCTTGTGAAGTTAAAACTGATATTTTTATATAGGAAATAATGCGAGTGATAAAAGAGCACTCAATATATAGTCCTTTAAAACAGCAAATACTGGATTTGTTGTTGATACTTGTAGATACATTTTAATTATCATGGCTATGTAAACAGTTTGTTAATTGATGATATTTCCTTGTGTATTTGTTTATGAAGAAAATGTGTATTAATATAACCGGATTATCAGAGTTTCTCCTTCGATAGGGTTATCTTTTCGTATGAAGAAGAGAAATGATAAAAACGCACGAATGAACGAAATGAATGATATTTTTTCGTTTATACGGCCAGGCAATATCATTGAACTTTTTCAAGGACAAGACCCCTGGATGAGAGAAGCCACAGAACGGAAATCGAAGAGAACAACAGAAATCATTGTGAAAAAAAAGTTGGATCACTGTTCGCCTTTTGACCACCGGCTTTCTCACTCTTTGAATTCCAATTGACGCAATTGACTGATAAGTTCGGGTTATAACCGATCCGCAAACATTACGATAAAGCAGCGATAAAAGTTAAATCAAAGCACCGAACCTTGTTAAGTAACTGTGCAACTGATTACGAAAATTATGAGTGCAAAAAATATTCGATAACTCCTGCGTCCACGATTGCTCAGTATGAAATGGGAACTGATTTCGTTATTTTGCTCGAAAATGTTGCTCTCCTACGTCTTTTGTTTATTTTTTGTCCTCTCTCTTTCTGCCACTCTTTGATATGATAAATCTGTTTAAAATGTATTCACAGATTAGATATATATCTGAGTTTACGTGTCCGAATGACGTATGGAGCAAAGAGCGAGAAATGGCCAGAAAAGAAATTAAAGGAAACGGCGAGAATGTAGAGCGATGTTCGAAGTTTTTCTGGGGCAACGCAAACAATTCCTGGCCTGTCCTAGTTCCATTCGGATGATAAACTAGGTCAGCGGCAGTAAGCTGACATTTACTTTCAATTGGCAACGTCATGCGGCACAATTAGTGTAATTTCATGCTCACAAAGGGCCATTTTCCGTTAAAGCCAGATGACACATTTACATAAGATGTTACACTTGTGTTTCTTTTCAGAATGCTTCTTTTCAAACATTTTGTTAACATTTCAGGTAAAGTAATATAATAAAATGTCTATTTTGCATAATTTTAATTTAGATATTTGTGTAATAAAACGATAATAGCGGATCAATGTGGACTATATATTAATAAGTTGGTTTACTTAAGTTTTAAATACCAGTCTAGTGTTTGGAAAACGTTAATAACGTTAATAATAATAGATATGTACCCCATATCTTATTGTTAATTTAATTAAATACTATGACTGATCAATAAAAAAGATGTCTAAAATTCAGAAGTTAATCGTTTAATAGAGTATTAATTCGATCAGTATAAAAATGAATTTTTTAATTCACAACACAAGTTTTTTGAGAAAATAAAAGATAATCATATTCCCCATATATTGTTACATTTATTGCAACGAATCTTGCATACCCTACAAGTGCCAGGTAGCGTAATCAAAGGCTGGGTCCTCAAATACCAACACACACAATCACACCTATTCTGTGACTGGAAATGGTTGGTTTTCCTTATCGCTTATATCGTTTGTAAAATGGGAAAATGAATGTATAGAAAAAGAAACCCATATACACTTACCACAATTGCCATACACATTTGAGTATAACTTTTGAAGCTTTTTCGTTGCTTTTCGTGCACGCGAAAATTGAATTCACGTTCACACACACAAACACACACACTCGCTGACAGCGACTCTCACAGACAGGAATTCCACGAATGCACTTGGCTTGTCTGCTCGACCACAAAGTTGGCCTTTACTGTTCTCAACTTGGATTAAAAGTGTTTTATGTTAAATGTAATTGGCAATCGATTGCTTATGGGCGACATTAACTCGGAATCCGTTTGCTGCCGTGGGCGAAATGCTTAACCTCAAATTTCTTTGTCGCAAAGTCACACACACACACACACACGCGTAGAGTCGGGGCCAAGGCAGATATCAGCGGGCTACGATATTAACGGGCTAACAATTTTTCTTCGCGTTATTCGAAAGGATTCTGTGACGAGTTCAACACTGGATTATACAGTTAACGTGTATCCACAATTTAAGGTGTAATTTCATTGAAGTAGACGCAGCGACTTGGTAACAATTAGTGCTGGCAAAACATTCAATACTATCGATACTATCGATGTTTTCAAAACATCGAACTAGCACAGATGTAAAACCCATTAATCGATAAGAGCAATGAGTTTGCTTAGGCTTACAGGTGCTCTGAGACTGTTAGTAAAGAAAAAATCGCTATGCGGATTTAACATATAAACTTAAATAAAAATCAAATTTTTCAATATAATTCTTATATTTACACATACATTTAACGATGTATCGTTGTTGAGTTTACGATACATCATTACATTTCTCGAAATATCTGTTGGTGGGACCATATTTGGATTGTTCGAAAATACAATTCATCTTTTGACACTGGGAACACAGGCATTTTTAGACATTTGTAGGCATTTGTAGACAGATATTTTTAACGTGATTTCTGTTTTTTGCAGCAATATATAGCATAATTTCAATAATAAAGGTATTATTATATGATTCAGTTTATAAATTAAAGGCGGCAACATCAAAGTTCCTGGTATATAGTGAAATATTAAAATTTAAGGATATTTTCGAATTTGTATAAATTCCTGAAAATAATAGCTATAAAGAGCTTACGGCAAGCTTCTGTGTCTAACCAAATTTAGGTGTAGATGTTATAGATTCACAAGAATTATTTGTTTGATTTAAAATACTATTTAAACTGGGTTTATCTGCTAGAAATAAACTGAAAGGAAAAATATGTAAGAGAAAAAGAGCATAAAATGTCTGGAAGACTGGCAGAAAATTTAAAAATTTTATTAAATATAGGTCGCTGTTAAAAAACCACTTGATAAAAATAGCTAAAAATTTAAAATGTATATTTAAAAATAGCCAAAAGTCCTCCGCCATAAATAGCTAAGTTGGCAACACTGATGTTTATACCTAGACGTTTTTATTATATATTTTCCAACAACAATCTAAAAATCGGCAATAGCGATATAAAAAATTCCTATTGAACTTAAAGGGCATGTCCAAGCGTAAGGCTGAAGATACAAAAGGTGAAACAATGGCGGCAACGGCAGAGAAGCTGACACAGGTGAGCAAAAGCACAAGAATAATCGCACAGCTGAGCAAATAATGAAATTCTGATGATTAATAGAATGACTATACAATTGGCTTGGAGGATCCGGTGAAAGACTACCAGAAACTAATCGAGACGAGGGTTCAGGTGGACGAGATCGTCGACGATGAGATCACCAAGGAGAATTTCAATCGGACGGCTGCAGCTGCGCGTGAGGTCATCTGGCGGCTGCTATTCGATGCAGACAAAACGGTTGGTGAGGATGAGTCACGCCAGCAGAAGGCGAAGCAGCTGCTGGAGGAGTATAGAGGCGACGCTAGCTTCTACGACCCGATTCCCTACAACTCGTGGATCGTCAAGGTGCGCGACGAGCTCCTCAAGACGGAGATGCTGGATTTCTGGCGCGAAACCATCGTGAAGCAGCAGCTGGGCCCTTGCTGGTCGCGTGACTGTGACCTGTTCGACAGTGACGACACACCACCGCTGGAGTTCTATGCACATGCCGGATGCACGGCTCCCTTTGCCGCCAGCCTCAAGGTGCGGGCCGCCTTCGAGCATCAGGCCTCGTTGGATCAGAGCGAGCAGGCAGCGGCGCAGCCCAGTACTCCCGGCGAGCTGAGTGCCGACGATGCCGCTGCTCTTTCCGGCGAGTTTGAGGCCGTGCTCACCAAGGAGAACCCTCTAGAGGAATACCGCACTTTGATGAAGCGCTTCGTGTTGACCAAAATCATTGTGCCCGACGATGTTCATCAGGCGAGTGTGAAGAAAGTTGCCGCCGCCGCAAGGGAAATCATTTGGAAGTTGCTATTTGATGGCGTGCCATCGCAGGAGGACCAGGACAAGGCAGCGGATCTGCTGCAGGAGTACAAGGGTGACGCTGGCTTCTATGGGCCCATTGACTACAATGAGTGGATTGTTAAGCTGCGGGACGAGGTGCTCACGCGCGATCTGCTCGACTTCTGGCGCGAGAAAATGGTTAAGTTGGAGTTGGGTCCGAGCTGTGCTCGCGATTCAGACTACTATACCAATGAGGATCCGCTGCCCCTTGAGTTCTACGATAAGGCCGGCTGCAAGGCGCCCTTTGAAGCCAACGCCGAGGACTAGGCTTCGATCCCGAGAGCTCTGCTTTTAAGATTTTTAAAAGACGAATTTTTGTCTTTAATAATTTTACAACTAATCCGATAAGGCAACTGTATTAATTGTTAATCGGTCGTACTCTGAGCCAAGCTCAAGAAGCACGTTGTTTCATAAAAATAATATTAAATTGTTAAGATCCAACAACTCCCATTTGTTGTGAAATTTATTTCTCATTTTGTGTAAACACTAAAAGATGTCGAAATGTCTCGAATTCTAAAATAAAAACATATTTTTGTAAAGGATTTTTTCAAATAAATTACAACACAAAAACAATGATTTTAGGATAAATTTTTAACTCAATGGATTTATTGTCATATATGGGATAATAAAGGGTTTAACACAATTCTTATAAATTATAAATATGTTCTTTGTTACGCAGTAAATACGCCCGAATTTGACGTGACGGTTCGGTAGAGCTGAAAACTAATTTCTATTTAACTTTATTTAATTTTTTTTATATAATTTTAAAACATTTTACTTCACTGTAGTAATATTATAATAAGGACAGGATTAAAAAACCTATGATATTCAAATTTAAATTTTTTAATTTTGTATTTCTAAATAAATTAATTTCTTTTCTAAACCTTGGTAATAGTAGAATTTGTTTAACGAAAAAAAAAATACATATTTCAAAAAGATTTCTCAAAAATAAATACTAATCGATGACTGTATACGAATTATAAAGTGAGGTAGATATTATTTTATATAATTAAATTATTTTATAGTTTTATATATGCGTGTTTTCTTATTTATATTCAAAACAATTTTATGTAAATACTGGTATTTTGGTTATTTCTTTCTTTTCTAAAAACAATAATTAAACGTTTCTTCCTTTTACTGACTAACTAATGTATAATGTTTTCCTTTTTATGTTAATTCTGATTTATTAATGAATTATTCATTAATTTAATAAATTCATTAACTTGAATATTTGTATACAATTTTGTTCTTTACGATTGTTTTAAATAATCAAAACTTATATTTAATTACGTTTGATTTGAAAATAAATATTCTTTACATTTGGGTATAATTTTCTTAGTTGCCTAAATTTATGTTGGTTTTTATAAATCTTGTTTTTTTAACATTTCTTAAGATATAATTAATTTTTAAATATAATCCTTAAATATAATCGTTATTTGCGATTAAATCATTTGTTTAAATAATTATGTAGTTTCTAGTCTTAAAATTAGAATTATTTATGGTACTTTGGTTTAATCATACATTAATTTAATTAAAAATCTAAAAATCACTGAATTTCTTTGGGTTTCTTCATAAATTGGCCTTGTGGTGAAATAAATTCTTAAAATAGGCAACTTAAAACTGGGTTTATTGTTAAATATTTTTTAAAAATATGAACATAAAAAGTAAACGAGAAATAATTTTAATATTATAATTTTGAGCCGACTAGACATTTTTGCAGTTTCTCGTTTTTGCTCTCACTGGACTGACACTTAAACTTAAAGAAATGAAATAACATTAAATATAGTCTTCAACATTTGAAAAAAAAAACGCAACGAAACGAAACCATTAATTCCAATAAGAAAATAACTTTGTGTGAGATCGGATAATCCTTCTTAATCCCTAAATCACTGAGCTTTAAGCATCTCCATCGGCATAAAGCAGGCGAGATCGTGACTTGCGTAAAGGGCGGGTGCTTCCGCCACCGATGCCGCTGTCGCCGCCATCGCCCTCGCCGCTCTGCCACGACTTGGTCTTGGCCCGGAAGTAACGAAACTCCTCGTTGTGAGCCGGTGACAGCATGGGCACATAGTGGCACGGGTCGCATAGGTCGGCGTGCGAGCCGTAGAAGTCCTTGTAACCGTTGTGCAGCAGATACAGCTCCGGATAGTCCAGAGTCGGATAGGTGGATGCGTGATGGCTGCGATCGTTGTTGCGCAGGAAGCGCAGGAGCTTTGGTCCCCTCTCCGAGGAGAACTCGCAGTGGAAAACATAGATGCGACGCTGCTCCCCGTTAGTGTGCGCTAAGCTGGGAAATGCTTCCTGAATTTGGCCACGTGTATAGAGATTGCGAGCACCACGTATGTGTCCGCCCAAAAATTCGTACGGGTACCGACAGTCGATGATCTGGTAGCCACCGCCGGTGCCCAGCTGGTCCACGAACTCGCCCTGGATCAGACGGGCCAGTGTATCGCTGGAAATGGTTTTCAAATCGCGATGCCTGGTGCCGGTTAACAAACAGGGCAGGGCACATGGCCTGCTTAAATCCCCGATTAGTTCCGGCTCGTCACCTAAGGCCGTCATTATCTCAGCATCGTTCATGGAAAGCGTCTTACGCTGGAGCTTCTTCGTGGACGAGTTGGGACCTTGCACCTTTCCCTGATCCTCGTCCTCGCTGGGAAACGTGCTCAGACAACGACGCAATGATCGCTTTTGTGACTCCGCTTTTTCGGAATGTTGTTGCTGCTGCTCAGCCTTCAGTTGACCGCTAATGAGCAGTTCCAGGTTGCCGGGCAGGTCCTGCTGTTGATCCTCGCCCTCCTCCAGCTCAAACATGGCCATGTACTCGTCGTCGAGCGAGTTGCCCGAGTCGTAGCTGTTGAAGCTGCTTAAGGTCCTTGACGATGTGCTTTTGAAGCTGCTTAAGGCCCTGGACGAAGTGTTGTGAAGGCTTCTCTGGGTAGACTTGGGCGTGCCACCGCCACCGGCTTCCAGGCACGCACCACGCATATTTTGTGACAGTTCCGTGATTGGCGAAAGGATGGAGCCGCCGGACTTGAGCAGGCGCTGCAGCGGTGTTCCCAGTGGCCCCTTCAGCCGCTTGGCTGCCTGCGGGGCCACGTCCTCCTGGTTGTCATCCACCTGGTCGCATGCCTTCTCTGTCTCTCCTTCTTCGCCTACCTCGAAGTCGAGCATCAGCCGCTTGCTGGCCATCTGTAAAAAGTTTCGCGGTCAGCTGTCCGAAATATCAGCTGTAATTTTGTAAATAAACTCACGGGACACCGCTAATTGTCTTTATTTCGGGTTTTCTACGATTTAACTTTGGCTTTAGCCAGCACAAGCACTTTATTTTTCACGTTTTTTTGGAGATCTCTCTGCCTTCTTTCACGTTTCTCGTTTTTCGTTCCGCTTTTAGCGGCAAATTCATTGGCGCCTTTTACCTCTTCCCCATTCCAGGGGAATGGCTCTTAAGTGCCATTCGCACGCTTCTGCTTTTTGTTTGAATTTTAACGTGGTGTTTTTAGGGAGTAGTAAAAGAATTGACAATTTTAAATGGGAAGTAGAATACACGTAACGTAATGTTCAAAGAATATAAAAAGAATATAGTGTCGTTTCATTTTACTGAAAAATCGTATAAAAACCAGAAAAAAGCTTTGACATGTCAATTTTTTGTCTCCTTTCACTTATAATAATAACACTAGTTTTTAGGGTTGGAAAATTAATTAAGTTGACATTGGTGTAACATCAATGATAACGAACACTTTTCTGTAGTCATATTAAGGGAAAATTTTATAATTTAAATATGATTAAATATTTACATGTAATAAATTAAAAATTTAATACAAATAAATGAAAATATAACACAAGTTATTGATATGTATATATTAATGGTTTTCAAATTTTTTTTAAATTTCTTCAGCTATGTACATGTAAATTATCACATGCATTCACGTTTGTGACCGATACATTTAAAGTATCGAAAATTATAATATTAAGTTATTGTGCTTTCGATAAAACCATTACTGCGGCATTCCATTTGGAGAAATATAAATTTGAACCGAATTATTTAAGTATTTAATGCCATTTAAGGTTTACAGACCGTCACCGATAAAAAATAGATAATATTAAAAGACTTTCGTCGACGATTACTTTATTTATTTTGCTAAGGAAATTTTAAAATGTTTACAGTTTTTAGTTTTAGTGGACATGTCTTATAAAATGTGTATACGTGTCGAAATTGAATAAAACGCGATTAAAAAGGAGTCAGAAACTCATAGAGATGAATATTAATTGTATGATGAAGTCGCAGCAAATCCACGTATACCATTATGACTAGATTTACATAGTTTCGTAATATTTCTTTTTATACATTTTACAACGTTTAAACACTCCAAAAAATAAATGTTGTATTAGTAATTCAGTTTGTTTAAAAAATTACATTTAATAGTTAACTGTTTTCAAATTTCCATTCATTCTCTAGCATCTTAGCTCAGCTTTAAAAACGCCGTCTTCATTTTGATTTCATTTCCTTGAAAATAATCCTAATTTAAATTGTCTTCTTCATAATATTATTATTATTATTATTATATATATTTTTTTGTTGTTTTCTATGCATAAATTCATAAAGTTCATAAATTGTTTCCACATTCAAAATACGATACAAAGGCAATTAGGTTTTAGTATTCAATTTTGGTTTGGTTTATCCATCTTTATGTGTAGATCTTGCTAATGCTTCTCGACTAATTGTAAGGCCAGAAAAGAGCAATAAATCATAGATGGTTTATCGAACTCAATATCGAACAAGTATTAGATACTTTACAGGTGGTCCTATATTTGTTTTTTTTAAAATCTGTGCGCGCGTTCGACGTTGACTGCTCGTCAACTTGGCCGTTTTAAAAACATTAATTTCAATAAAAATACATATTACAAAACAGGAGGAAATACATGGTAGGATCTTCTTGCAGTAAACATTAATTATTATCTCGTATATAAACCGTTTTGTATCTATAATTAAACCGTTTTTGAGGCTTTAACAAAAATTCAACAAATTTAACTAAATATTTCCATTGCAAAAATAAGAGTAAGTGCTTGTGTCTTAAGTTTGTTAATTTACCATTTACTCGTATTATATCATTTATACTCTTTTATTGTTATAAAAACAAACAACTAAGCTTTATAAAATTACAAAAATAATTGTTGTTAGAATTATTTTTGTTCGCTTTTACAATATGCTGTTTGGTTTTTAGTTTACTTTTTATACCCTTGCAGGGTATTATAATTTCAGTCAGAAGTTTGCAACGCAGTGAAGGAGGCACCTCCGACTATATAAAGTATATATATTCTTGATCAGGATCAACAGCCGAGTCGATCTAGCCATGTCCGTCTGTCCGTCTGTCCGTCTGTCCGTCTGTCCGTCTGTCCTTCTGTCCGTCTGTCCGTCTGTCCGTCTGTCCGTCTGTCCGTCTGTCCGTTTCTACGCAAACTAGTCTCTCAGTTTTGAAGCTATCTGAATGAAACTTTGTAGTTAGCCTTCTATATACTCTCACTCGTATATATGTCGGAACGGGCCGGATCGGACGACTATATCATATAGCTGCCATAGGAATGATCGGAAAATTTTTACAAAAAAATTTTTAACTTTTTCAGTTTTCAATAGAATTTGATCAAATTTGAGATATAGCCATTTTACTATACTCTACAATTTTGCATAAAATTTTATGAAAATCGGACTACTATATCATATAGCTCCCATAGGAACGATCGAGAAATTAATACAATTAGATTTATAACCTTTTTAGTTTTCAACTGATTTTCATCAAATTTTAGGTATAGGCATTTTATATTAGTCTTAAATTTTGTGTCAAATTTCATGAAAATCGGACTATTATATCATATAGGTGCCATACAAACGATCGCTTGATGTAGAGGAAAAATGCAAATCTTTGAATGTAAAACTGCAAATATTATATGTATAGGTGAATGAAATGAAATCAGGTATTACTTCATTGTTTTTTAACACAAATATATATCATTTATATTGTATGGTTTTTTATTCATAGAAGTTCTATCTGCAAGGGTATATAAACTTCGGCGTGCCGAAGTTAGCTTCCTTTCTTGTTTTGTTTTGTTTTTAATATTTGGCTTTGGTTGTACCATAATAAACTATCAAAATTGTCGATGAAACTTGGAGTCTAAGCTATAGGCGTTAGGTATGCACTTGTGCAGTACATAAATAACAAAAAGTAGCATTCTATAATAGTCGTGAGAAACTGTTGAAGGATCAGCTAGGGCTTCCTTTTTGGGGGGTTTGGTCTTTGCCTTTTCTCAATTCGCTACATTTGTGTATAAAATATAAAGTATAAAGTAAGACCAGTTTCGTAACTTTTGGCGCGGTTTGTAAGTCTAAGAGTTGAAGTTGTTCTTGCTAAAATTGGTTTTTTAGTTAAGAAGATTGTGCCTGTGTTGGTTTGGTTTGCGTTGTTGTTAAACATTCGACAAGTATTTGGACTACGGCATTATATAGTTTACCATCTATAGAAAACTAAATTATATTCATATAAGGACAACAAACCGATCGTAGTCGCATGTAGTAAGTACATAGTATAGTTGTATAGTAGTCCTGTGTATATATCCCTTAGCGCATAAAGTAGCGCGTCAAGTAAAACATCAAAATCATGGTCAGCGGCAGCAGCTGAAGCGTCAAACCCAGCCGCGAGGCATTGCCGCAATAGGTGTACAGTTCCTCCTAAAAATTGAACAAGAGAAAATATCGATTATTAGTCGATAAACCGTAGGGATAACACTTTCTTTTACAGAGATCTAGAATGGGTTTTGACTCCTTTAAAATGCAACTGGATAAAATGACACTGGATAAATCCTTATTGAGTATACCAAAAATGTAACACATTTAACATTTTACGGAAAGGCCGATTATAAATATATTTTTTAGTTATGCGATATATTGATATGCTATTATGCTATTTAATTTGGACTCAATATAAATAGGCTTCTAAAAAAGTAGTTTTAACGATTTTCAAAATATAGTCGGCAAAAAGGTAAATAGAATTAAAAATATATCAAAATATTTCTTTCAATATTATATACACTTTAACTTTAAGTTAGATATTTTTCGATATGATGTAGATGATTTTAGCAATACATTATTTCAGACTTTCCCTCTCAATACATGCAAATTCACATAGAAATTCCCAATTTCTCATCCCAACAGGATACTCACTTCATCGTCCTCCGTATAGCACTCCGCGATGCGTCGCCGCTCGTAGAAGCTCATGTTGAGCTTGTAACAGGGAAACTCCGTTGGGTATTCCAAGCGCTGTGGCTCGGTTGTCAGGCGGACACTGCGCGACGGCATCAGGACATTGACAACCACCAGCAGCAGATTGGAGTTGGGTATCTTCTTGACCAAGAAGGGGCGGGTCGAGGGTGGCTCCACCCAGTCGTTGATGCCCACCAAGGCACTGGGCTCCAGGGCGTACAACGTGGAGCGCATGTCGCAGGGCTTATAGATGGGATCCGGTTCGGGTTCGTCAAACAAAGCATTCTCGTCATCGCTGTCCTCCTTTGGCTTGGAAGCCGAAGCTTTGCCGCCGTCGCCCACGGCCACGTACTCGTCCTCGATTTCATCGGTGTATTCCATGACTAATGATAATTGAGGGATTATATCCCGATACAAATTTGTTTTGAATTTTAATACTTACATGGCGCTCCATCCGCCCACCACTGAATCCTTTGATACTGAAAGAAGAGATGACTGACCAACCACTTCCAGCCAAGACTTAACAATCGAAGGGGCTAATAGCGGAAATTTAAATTGATATAATACTTATATTATCAGAAAAGTTTATAGGTATTTATATCTTACATGCAGTAGACCATGGGCATCACTGTTCGTCTTTGGCTCTTCCTTGCACTGCTCCTGGTAATCGTAGACTGCGATGCTCAGAAAGATGCCCCTTTCCACCATTGCAGACATCACATCGCCGTGGAACTCGCCAAAGAACTTACCAGTAGTGTTAATATTCTGGCCAATCACAATATAGGCATTGTTGTCGATGACCACACAGTCCACGTCGTCGTCCGTACAGATGGGCAGGCAACGGTGGCACTGTTAGAAAATAGTTAAGGTCATATTTTGGCTGAAAAATCCCTGATTCTGCTTACATGATCCTCGGCGGTGATGTTGAAGAACCGCTCCCACATGCGGGCATGGGAGAACTGAAAGCCTACAACGCAGGCAGGTGCCTCCTTGCCACCGTCCCTCGGGAAGATCGCATGCGAGGCGGTAATTTTCAATTCGCTGTCCTCCATTGGATCGTTGTAGTGCTTCACGGAGTAGACGAAGCTCTCTGTTCGGTCCTCGTGATGCTGCAGGATGGCGCTTTTATACCAGGTCTCGTCGATGGCCTTGGTGTGATAGTCGCCGAACTCACGATCCGTGTCCACCTCCACCTCCCCAAAGATGAACTGCCAACGAGTGAGACCGCTCATCGTGGCCACAAAGCGCAGGTCAGCTCCAAAGCGCAGGATCAGCTGACGCTCCTCCTCGTTCTCGAATTTCCACTCGCCGTAGCTGGAGTTGGTCACCTTGGCGTCGAAGACCAGCAGATGCACCAGCTCCGTGTTGCAGTAATAGGCATCGTCTCCTAGTGTCTTTCGGCCGCAGTTCACTGAAATGGAGAGATTGCATGTGTCCAGACCACGAAATCTTATCATCAAACTTTGCTACGTACGGTTTTCCTTGTTATTCCGATCGGATTCATCTTCTGCATACTGTTCTGCCCATTTCCAATCCTTCTTCACCATCTTGCCCAGGAATTCACGCAACTCTGCCTCGGGTGTTTTAAACTCGTGTCCCTCCAGATAGTGATACTTGCAATAGACCCTGTGTTTGATTAGATTTCTTTAGTTTTTTCTTCAATATTAGAAAAAGTGTTTTACCCACCAATCGGGATGGACTTTCCAGTTTTCACCGATGAAGAAATCCGATATATTAATCTTCATGTGCGTATTCTTGGACACCTCCTCGCCCACCTTTATCCACGTCTTGCCATACTCACTTGGCATAACGATGCCCAAGGTGAACGGAGTATTCGGCAGAGGAGCAAAGAAGTAGTCCTGCTTCTCCTCCGAGACGCGACGCATTGTGTCGTAATGGAATTTCACAGAAACATCCGTGAATTGCTTGGTCTTGTTCTGCACCATGGCACTGCGTATGTTCAGGATGGTATCGCCAGGCTCCCGGGGATTTTGGTCCTCGAACAGATGCTCAACCTCGGTGAAATCGATGCTGTTGTAGTTCGGATTCATCCTGCCATTTGTCTGAATGGAGGAAATTATATTATTATTTCAGAGAAGTATGTAAAGTATGTATAACTTACCCCCATGGGTCGCAGATCAGGATGCAGCAGGACATAACCATTGTTGGATACCACAAAGGAGTAGCCATTGACTCCAAGCTGAAGGAAAATGTAAAGAATATTAATAAGGATAATGCAATCGGAAATCTCTCACCTTGTAGGGCAATGTCAGCTTGTCTATATCTTCCACGGGCACATCTGTTCCAGCTACGCCCAGCATTCGTGCCCTCCGGTTGGTGCTGTTCTCATGGCGATAGAATCGATCGAATGCCGGCACGCCCACAGCTATCATGAGGCGGGGTCTTTTCTCATCAGAGGTTTTTGGATCATACTATTGAGTAATATGATAAATATTGATTTATTTATTTCTAAATTTGATAAAGAAGTTCCCAACTGACCGTCTTATCCGTAAAGGCGTGAGTCCATGTGGGCGGATGCTCTACGTTCTGCAGGACCAGAGGTGTTGCGATGACATCCACGTATTTGAGGACCTCCTCGTGTACCTCGTCAAGGGTCTGGACGTGCGAGTAGTAGCCCCTGTTGAGGCAGGCCATCCATTGAATCTCTCGCACCTTGGTCACCTCCTTGCCCAGTAGATAGGTAAAGATGCGCACATTCATGTGCCAGGTACCGTTCTCGCCATTGCCCCAGTTGTACTTCTGGAAGACCTCGGTTGTATTGCCGGCGACGCCATCGGTGACCAACATAATGGCCTGGTTACAGCTGGACGTGGAATTGGCACTGCAGTTCCGGCTCTCGAAGTAGGTGTGCAGCAGCTGGAAGGCCTTTTCGTAGGCCAACGTTAGATTGGCATAACCCTCCGGATCCGGCAGGTTGGCAATGGCCTCATTGAAAACCTCGATATTCTCGGGCGTGGCCTGGACGAGGGCTCCGTTGAAACAGGGGATGATGTCCTCGACCTCCGCCGAGTAGCGGAAGATGGTAAAGAAGTCGTTGTTTGAGAAAGTGTCCAAGATGCTACGGATGGTGAATTTTCCCACGTGGTGGCGAAAACCCGTCATTGATCCGGAGTGATCCAGCAGAATGACGATATCCTTAGAGCATGTGGCCGTCTCAATGTACCACGAACGCTTCCGACAATCGTAGGTATCGGCATCCATGCGATTCGGCCTTATGTCTGTCCACTGAGATGCTGGATAGTGACGCAGGATGCCCGTATCCGAGCCGAAGTACTGCCACGACAAAGCCGGATCAGACTGGTAATTCCTCCGGAACACCTCGTCCAGCTGCTCCGACCACATGATGGTCTTCAGCACTCGATCCGAGCGATCCCAAACGTTCGATGGAACATGCACCGAACTGTGCTCCGTGTCCACCGGCGTGTTGTAAAAGTGCGTGTCCGGATTAAGTTCCATGGGTGTATACATCCATGCGAACTCGGCCTCATTCGGCTCCAGAGTCTCGGAACTGTTACCATTAAAGGTGGAGTACTTGCTGGAGTAATATGAGTAGTTCTGCAGTGCATAGGTACGGTTGAACTCAAAGTTCTCGTTGACGGCCTCCGCCCGCTCCTGAATACAGCGCACCGCGTCCATCTTTCTGGCCAGCATCTTGCCCACATTGGCCGTAATCGATTTGATAAGCTCCGTGCCGTTCTTGAGCTCCACTCGGGCATTGTACTCCTTGTACTTCTCCTTGATCTCCTGCGACTTGGTTATCTTCTGGGCAAGCAGAAACAGTTCGTCCCCAAACTGTGTGGCCCATTTTCCGACGCTGCAAAGGAAAGGCAAGAAATATAGTTAGTTTATCTATTAAGATATACATATACATATTTACTGGAATTGTTTATTCACAGAGAACGAACTTTAGTTTCATCTTCCTTTATTAGTATATTATAAAGTTTAGTTGTTATTTATGCTTTATTTAATTTTATGCTTTATTTAATTCTTTCGCAATTCAAGTCCTTATCCGTTACATCATATGTCGCAAGGATCCGGAGTATTCAAAAGGGAATGGTAATCAACAATTTATAGGCGTCGGAATTCCCCAAGCCAAATGTCAACCACCTGTCCGAGTTCCACTAATTCAATTATCGCACATGTTCGCCCATGGTGGGAAGCGGGCGTGTGGGGGTGGAGCCGAGAGGTGTGTTCGCACCTGACTGAGGTGACAACACTGTTCTTCCGGCAGCGACGCCAGCGTCTTACCACGAAACAGCTGTGCAAGCTTATTCGTGTGCGTGAGAAATCAACAAGTGCCAGCGCGCGCAACTTTTCTCACTTCCGCTCTTAGTTTAGATTTTTAACTTCTCTTAAACGATGTACTCTCTTAGGAACCTAGAGTGCATTCGGGCCGATTCCATTAGTTAATGCATGCATTAAATATTTTAACGGGAACTTAAGTCAGTTCCATGGAAAAACAGATTTTAAAGGTCGCGTATCAAAAAGTACAGTGGATTGCTTCAGAAAATGTAAAACTATTAGCGCAAAAGCATCAAACAATTTATTTAAAAAATGCTCATAAAATTGGGAAATTTTGGAAGAATGTCAAATGAATGGATTCTGAATACAAATTATATTGAGTGTTACATCGAGACAATTATCATTTAAATTAAAATTATTTGGTCATATTTTTGACAGTAAGTTCCATAAGGTCCTTAAGTAACATCTTTAAATTTTTTTTTTAATTTTCATATCTTTAGTTTGTTATTTAAAAGTTTATTTATGACAATCAGGAACTTTTGCTTGTATGGTTCTTTGAGACTATTTTAGGAATGTACGGATGGGCAAGAGTACGTGGTTATACAGTTTTAAAAAGTGTACATAGGTTGTTATTTTATGATATTTAAGGTTCTGAAATATTTTGAATTCAATACAATCATGTGTACGAAATTTTAATTGGTTTATCTAGGATCGAGTTTGAGATTTTATTTTGTTTATGAAAGGAACAAAAGGGATTTTTAGGAACATATACATATACAAAAAAATTAAATATAACCCATTCGGATTGGGGTAAAACTTATTTATACATATGTATATTCTGCTAAAGTCGAGTGAGATGGACAATTAATTCATTATACTAACATATCCAGAGACATGACTATTATTTCCTAGATTGAAAGGGTAAACTAAGATAATTCACGAGCGAGAATTACTTTATTTTGTTATTTAATTAATTTTAATTTCACTTCATAAAGTTGATTTACAAAAAATATTTTTACTGTATAGTATCGCCTTTTTTGTAATTTTACATTGATTCCCCAGCGAATTTGATTGTAATTTAGCTTACAACATTTTTTAAATTCGTAGTTAATGTTTTTACAAGGCTTAAACAGAACAAAGAATAGTAAGCCTATACCAGTTTAAAGGATATACATAGCTTACCAACTATTAGAATAAATAGTGTTTAATATAAAATTTTGTTATGATTTTCCGGACCGAGTATTCTGTGGTCGGGACACTTAACTATTGTGTTCCTTTACGATTTCATAAATCATGTTTATTTCACCAAACCATTTGAATATTCTAAACATATTTGCAAACTATAACCATTCATAGCGTTTGAGTGTTTCGGTGAATAATTAATATTTCTGGTCGGTGTGCAGTCGAAAGTAATTAAAATTGCATTGCCCACCGAAATATACACTGACCGGAATTCAGCTTGCGTGTGAGTGCGGCATTTATTATAAACATTTAATGGCAGCGGGTGCCTGTGCCTGCGCATGACCAAAGTCACACGAAATCACTCGCTCTTTCGCTCAGTATCCACGAGTATCTCAGTATCTGCGAGGCGGGGCGCTCTTGACGTGGCTTTTGATGTCGCCGACGCTGCCGGCCGCGCTGCCTCGGCCATTTTCATTTCACTTCTGTCGCCGACGTTGCCTTTGACACAGTTATTCCGACGGCACACGCACACCAGTCCGCACACCCACACTCACACACCTCACGCACACACAGGCACAGAGGCACACTCGAGTGTGTTGGCCCGGTCGGCGCTTAGAGAAATTGTTTTGGTTTTTGTGTTTTTTGTTTGCCGATTGATGTTGTTGGTAGTTGGAATTGAATGATGCCTCTCTGGCTTTTATTGCGTTCTGGAGTTGTACAATTAATTTGCCCACATTGCTTTGCCTGTCCGGGACTGCCATTGTTTTTTGGGGGGACTCTTGTTAGCCACTTTGATATGAGAATATGTAGCAGAAGGCAAAGGAATTTTTGTTGATTTTTAAGATGGGTACCTTAAGATGATTCATTTCCTTATATTTCTTTGTAATTACAAAAAATATATAACATGTCAATGCTTCTGTTATAATTTAAAATATTCTTCTTTTTTTAAAACTAAAATATTCTACCAACATAAATTTTGGTAGCAAGAAATATTATTTTGATCGTTTCTTCAGAATAGTTCCACATTTATTGAATCGTAAATAAATATTTATTAATCTGTAGATTAATATATGTATTTAGCTATCTTTCTATCAGTCCACATAAGTATATATATATACTTATCTACATATATACCTATACCTATATATAGAGAGATAAATAGAGAGGTATATAGATTGATACACAAATATATACTTCTCCATCGATCTAGCTATTTATGTATCTTTTTATCTTTGTATCTATCTTTCTTTCAATTTTAATATCTATTTACCTATTTATTTATATATTTTTCTAAATGTTTATCAACTTTTCTATCTATCTAAAAATCATATATATATCTTTCTATTTATCTACCTTTCTATCTAACAATTACCTGTATGTCTATCTTTTTATTTATCTTTCTATCACCTAACTATCTATCTATCATTCTATCGATCGATATTTTGTGTTCTAGCAATTTTATCTTATAAATAAATAACATGTTTAAGCATTTGCGCTTTTCCTTTAAAATAACTTGAACTTTAGCTTTAGACGAATTAATTTTTTTTTCATTTATAAATATTAGCTGAAAATAAATTTGTCTCATGAGACTAGCTCATTAAATTATAAGTGTAGCATGTAGCATTAGAAGAAATTTTCAAATAAAATGTAAATATAAATATTCGTTTGTCTTTTACTTCTAAATTTTAAGTATCTTTTATATATAACTGATTCTTAGGCCTCATTTACTATAAGTTCTAATTCCCCTAATAAATATACTTTGTAATGCAAAGAAATATTAAAGATACAAATGATTTTCGGTTTCCGGTCTCCGGTCTCTGGTTTAAATTCTGTTTTATGTGCATATTTTGCAGCTTACATTTGGTTGTGGAAATTTGTATTCTAAGAGTGTTTTTGGGGCTTAAATTTTTTATTTTTTATGGTTCCTTGATATAGTTTGCTAATTGGATATTAACTTGATTTTTATATGCTTGGCCTTGGTATTAATAATAATGAGTCATTAGATTTGTCAGTGGCTGATGTCATTTGTTTTGCTTATTTCCTTCGAATTTATCGGTTTCCTCTGAGGGTTCATATTGAAAAAGTATAAATAAATTGATAAATGGTTTGTCTTTTTATTTGAAAACGATTTTTCTATATATTTTACTGTGTATTATTAATACAACTTTTGTTAAGTATTCAACATTATAATAATTAAGTTGAATTATGTGGCACAGTAATTGATGAAATCGTTTTATCGCCTATTTAATCGAAAGCAAAACACCGAATGTTTACCCAAAGTGTTTTCACAAAAAAATCAAAACCAAGAAATATAAATAATTTGGTGGTCGCTGGTTCCCGTATTTACTTAAATTAATTGCACAACTTTCGGCATGATGTTTAGCGACCCCAACAAAATGTCCAATAAAATATTCATTTAGCGCCAGTAGGCGACGGAGGGTCTACCTGGTCTACCTGTTTGCTCACTCCCCGACCAGCATGTCAGGCATACAATTTTTTTGATGTGACTTTATGAAATGTTAGAGCACAAAACAAAAATGCGAAAAGCATGGGGAAAATTCAGGGAGAGAAAAGTCGGAAAAAATGCTGACGCACACACGCACGCAAGCCAAAATGAAATAGAATAAAAGCGTTCGAGACAAAAGACAAAACGCTTAAACACGCAAAGCGAAATGAGAAAACAAAAAACGAAACCAGAGGGGTTCGACCTTTATAATACCTCAAGCCATTTTAATATTTTATTACTTTTAGCAGGATTATTTATCCTTATATGCCTTAGGCCTTCCACTGAATAAGTAACTGCCTAATGTGCCTTAAAGGTCACTATCATGGAACGTTATCTATTATTCAATGTGGGAGTAATAATATCCGGGAGATACTAAATATTTATTTTGTTTTTGTTTAACTTTCCCAAATACTTTTCATTTGCATAAAGACTTGATCTGATTCTGATTCGCTTCCTTCTTGGCAAGTTTAAAACGAAAACAATGGCTGTAAACACGATAAAGCTTTCATCTTTCCTTCTGCGCAAATACATAATATTCAAAGGCAGCCCAATAAGCCCCATTTTCAGTGTGTCTATAGGGAATTCTCTGTAAAGGAAAATAAAAACCGCGGGGAACGGTGTCTGGCAACGAAATTAGCATAAAATGTACGAAAAATTAACGAGCGTCGTTGACAACGAGAGGAAACCAAGGCGACAAGGATGATTAGAACACGCCCCCTAATTGACTTGTACGCGGTTCCCAGCGTTTCCAGCAAAGCCTAATATCTGCTGACCAATTTTCACCTGCGGGGCAAGGGCAAGGTAAAGATAATGGGGAAGGGGAAGGGGAAAGCAAGGAACACTTACGCTTCATCCGCCGCCGAGGCCTCCGCCAACATGGGCGAGGAAGTGGGGGAAATGCCGCCATGCGGCCCGCAAATCAACAGCAATAACAGCGGCTGGGAGAGGAAAAATGCGGTCAAAATGACAGCAAAATGTGTCATCAACTTTTCGCATAAACCAAACATTTTTCTCGCATTTTCCTTGTTGCTGCTTGGCGGCGTCGATTCTCGCTGGGATTGGTTTTATATTATTGGCTATGGACCATCGGGTCAAGTACGCATACGGGCACTGCGAAAACTCGAAAACCCTTCAAAATTGATATACAATTTTGGGTGGAGTCGCCTGCGTCGGCTTCGACGCCAGCAGCGCTGATGGGATTTCCTTTTTTCGCTTTTCGCTCTTCACCACACACACACACACACACACACAGTCACAAGCACAATCACAGACACACGCGAACGGCACACGGAGCGTATGCGTAATGCGAATAATAATTAGAATAATAACTGCGTTTATCGGAGGATTATTCTGTTGTTAAAAAAAACCCGACAATTCTATGAATTTTCCTCGGAAAAGTGGCCACTATTTTCGATTTTCGTAATTTATTTTTGTATTTTAGTTTCCCTCAGCAGCGTGCGTTGAAATTTTCTATATATAAACTGCGGGCTCCGAACGTTCTTTGATTACACATATGGAACACACTGTCACTGGGCGAGAGCTGGTGTGTGTGTTAGTGGACGGGCAACTAGAAAGTTTTCCGAGCCTTTACGTTTTCCGTGCCACTAGCCGCCGTCGTCGAAGAGCTGCGAGCAACTGAGTTGGGAAAATGTAATAGTCAGCTCTCGCCCCCCTTTTTGGGGGCGCTCTTTGGGTGCGCTCTTCGGTGTCCTATATTTAGGCGCTCTCCTTGTTTACATTTTCTCGAGTGCCGAGAATGCGGGGAACAGCTGTTTTTGCTGGCTTTCCCTTTATCTATTGATTTTGTCACGAGGGATTCCGATGATTTTCATCGCGTTTCCTTTGTGCCGCATATTCACAACAGAGAGGCATTTCCTGAATTTTTTATCCGAAACATTTGAAAGAGATATGCGGCTCTTGGCAAGAGAGAGAGCATTATCGGTGGGGGTCTCTTGGGGTCGCGAGTCCTAACAAATTACTTTCGATGCCCAAGGATATTATTCTTAGCTTTGTTGACCGAAGAGATTACAGCTTTATGGGTTATGGGGCGTAACTGTTTGCTTATGCTGGTTTATTTTATATTTTCGGGGTCTACGAATTGATAACTCAATCGTTTTTATGATTTGCAAACAAAAGAGGCCATAATTCTATTTATGATTCAAGTGTTTTCTTATGTCAATTTACGATTGATTTAAAAACCAAGTCACCTTGGAAACCAAAGGAATTTTGATAGGAATTTCAAGAATAGAATGTTTTTGAAAGATTCTACAATTATTTTATTCTAAACTTAGGGATTTATATTGATTTCCTATTTAAAATGTCTACATATGTGACAAGTCTACTTTGTTTATCAATTTACATTATTTTAGCTGTTTAACGTGTAAAACTGAGTAAACAAAATGAAATCAGCGAAAACTGACATTTTAAACGCTGAGTTTCCTACCAAGTATGTATTATTCTGGCAAGTTAATTTAACTTTTTATGTTATAAATATTACCATATAAAATTAACGCTCTTTATTTACATTAAAAACAAGTTCTAACAATTTTTATTTGATTATTTTTCTACTCCAGGAAATTCTTAATATATTTGCCGCTTGTCCTTTGCGAAACATTAATTGCAGAGTCACAATCCAATGCCGCTTGCATATTTCATGAGCACCATAAACCGACTTTGGGGGACTATCATCCTACCATAATCCTTGGTTTCAAGCATTCGGTCTGCGTTTAGCAGGAAAATCCAATTTTGGTGAACGCCAAACCGAAAAAATGTCTTCCCTGATACACATACTAAGCGACAAAATTTCAAGTGTGCGTGGGAGGTCCTTCTGTACACTTTCCGGACACGTTAAAAGTCGAACAGTTCAAAATACAAAAAGGGATACACACTAAAATAAAAAAAAATTTAATAATATTAAAGATTTAAGTATGGTTTTAGTCAAACAAATATTAACATAGGTTTTTAAAATAAAATAAAAAAATTTAATAATATTAAAGATTTAAGTATGGTTTTAGTCAAACAAATATTAACATAGGTTTTTTATATACTAAATATAAATTTACTTTACATTTACATTTACAGCCAACAAGATATTAATAATTAAATGTTTGATACTTCTTCAAATAATACCCTAATCCAAACGATTTAAAAGCTGACCAACTTGTAGTGCCTCTTGGGAGGTTCACTGTTGTTTGGATTTTTGAGTTATATGAAATCTTCATATTATGCATAATATATGTATATGAAATATATTTGAATTAAATGCGCACGCGTGCCGTCTATTGCTCACGAATGCGATACACTACCGAAAAGGCGATGGGCACACTAATATGGTGAATCCCTAATAAGCGGCGGGCACACTTGACCTCGCCGAAGCCCTATATAAGGCGAGACACAGCCCCAAGTAAATTATTCGGCAACCGACATCAGTCGGTAGAGGCCGAATTTAGTAACATCGAAAGTTTATCTTTATTATTTTATTTTTCTTATATTGCCTATATTATTTTATTATTGGTATTCTTTTTATTCTGCCAATGCTGCGATTGATACATATATTTGATCGGCCATTAAGTCGCTTAATCTTCGTCTGGAGGGCCTTCAATGGTTGCTGGGATGCAAGTTCAGAGTCCGGTACTATTGCGAATATTAGGAATTTCAACTGTTAATAACATCGAAAGTTTATCTTACTTTATATATTTTATATTCGCGTTCTTTCTCACTGTGTCATGCTGCCATTGATACATATGTTTGATCGGCCATTAAGTCGCTTAATCTTTTCGTTCTTGGAGATCCATCAATGGTTAATGCAAGATCAGAGTCCGGTAATATTGTTGTCGCTTAATCTTTTCATCTTCAGTTAAAACAGGAGGAATAACACTTACTTTTATTTTATTTTATTTCGTTATATGTGACAAAAAGTCAATTCTTTGAATTCATTCTAGTTATGTTAATTTGATCAAGATTTATGAAGTAAACTAGCTGTACCCTGCCAAGTTTCTCTGTGGCTTATTGTGGTTGCACGCATAAGAAATAAGTAAAACAAAAAAGAATAATTTTCAAATTTATTTAATTCTGTAATACTTGTGGGCATGCAATATTCTTCGTTTCTCCATTCTCCGCGTAAATATAAAGACTATCTGGTTTTCCGACACGGGAACACGCAACATATAATTGTCCGTGTGAAAAACAATCTGCATCCAAATCTAGACCACACAACTCTAGAGATTGACCTTGAGCTTTATTTATGGTCATTGCAAACGCCAAACGAATGGGAAACTGCAATCTCTTGAACTGAAACGGTGTATCAGTCGGGATCAGAGGAATCCTAGGAATGAGGACATCTTCACCTTTGAAAGGACCAGTTATGATCGTTGCTTCTACTATGTTGTTCATCAATTTCTTGACTGCGAGTCGCGTACCGTTGCAGAGTTTCGGCTGATTTATATTTCGGAGCATGATAATCGGCACACCTATTTTTAATTTCAATATGTGTGGTAACATTCCAGGCAGATCAAGTGAGTTTAGAAATTCCGTAGGGTAATTAACTGCTTCCTCTGCCTCCACCACGGGGTCTATCGATATGTAATTTCGTCAGTCAAGAAATTGATGAACAACGTAGTAGAAGCAACGAACATAACTGGTCCTTTCAAAGGTGAAGATGTCCTCATTCCTAGGATTCCTCTGATCCCGACTGATACACCGTTTCAGTTCAAGAGATTGCAGTTTCCCATTCGTTTGGCGTTTGCAATGACCATAAATAAAGCTCAAGGTCAATCTCTGGAGTTGTGTGGTGGATGCAGATTGTTTTTCACACGGATAATTATATGTTGCGTGTTCCCGTGTCGGAAAACCAGATAGTCTTTATATTTAAGCGGAGAATGGAGAAAGGAAGAATATTGCATACCCACAAGTATTACAGAATTAAATAAATTTGAAATGTATTCTTTTTTGTTTTACTTATTTCTTATGTGTGCAACCACAATATGCCACAGAAAGGTGGCAGGGTACAGCTAGTATAGAATATATTAGGCAAGCATTTATCTCATCAGCTGGTGTCGATCGGGAAATCACAGGCAACCTTTGCCTGAAATCCCCTGCGAGCAATATTAACGCATTCCCAAATGGTTGGACAGTTCCATGCAAATCTCTCAATGATCGATCGAGAGCCTCCAGCGATTTTTTGTGTGCCATTGTGCATTCATCCCAAACAATGAGTTTACATCTTTGCAATACTTTTCCCATGCCAGATGCTCTGGAAATGTTGCACGTAGGAGTCTCGATGATTTGCATGTTCAACGGCAACTTTAGCGCTGAATGAGCAGTCCTCCCACCAGGTAACAATGTCGCAGCGATTCCAGATGAAGCAAGAGCTAAAGCTATGTCCTTGTTAGATCGAACCGTAGCCAGAATCAATGTAATGAATGTTTTCCCCGTTCCTCCTGGAGCATCCAAGCTTCAGCTACCCTTGCCCTGTCGCGTTCATTATTTTGAGAGTGAATCAAATCGATTGCTGCAGAACGCGACTACCTAACTCTCAATCGTTTTCTCTCAAGCCTATCTGCTCGTCTTTCTGCTGATTCCGCGTTGTGCATCTGCATTGCTCTCAGCCGCTCAGTCTCTCGGATGGAGGCCCGTTCTTCGTCGGTCATATTCGTAATCTTACGTCTTTTTGCTTCTGTATTGCGAGTACGTCGACCCAAACTCGACTTCTTGGGTGGCATGACTTCGTTTATTACTGAACCTGAACAAAAAAATAAAATTTTAATCTCCAATTTCTTCTTTCAATATGTTTTGAATGTTTGACAGGAAATGCTTCGATTCAGCTGGCTGCCTGTAGAGGGCGCAGCAGTAGGGGCACTGGGAAACGCGAAAAAAAACTGATATATTCTCAAACGCAGATAAGCTATCAACATCAAAAGTAGACAAGAACCGAGCTGGAATCTCAACGCATGTTGTGTACAAATTTGGGCTTAAACGGTTCAGAACTTTTCAAGTCTATGAAGGAAGTATACACAAACAGAGCATTTATATATATATAGATAAATAGTAAGGAACGATCGGGCTTAAAATCTAAAAAAAAAGTAAAAATAAATTCAATAGTGATAGTAAATTTAAAAGAAAATACTTTTTTCTTATTATTTTATGTATTTCTTTTATATTTTTATTAATTTTATATATATTATAAACGTATGTTTTTCGGATATATACATAATATCCGAGATT